GTGTCGAGAGTTGAGTCTAAGGCGTGTCTTTACCGAGGGCACGCTTACAGTTCTAGGCGCACTACTTGGCCGGAACCGGGAAACCAACAACAACAATACATGGCAAGTTGGCAGCGAAACACGTCATAGTGTTTGTAATTAATATATGCATTTCAATACCCCAGTAATCAACAACCTTTTCAATCCCCTTAAAACCTACAATCTGAGCAAAAGACTAATTTTTTTTAAGAAATTTTTTATTTTTAATTTGCTCAAATTGGCTATGACGGGAATCGTTCGCCATAACACATTCTTATGACAGATTGCAACTGTCATATGAATAGTGCAGCCGACAGCTTACTTATGACAACAAACACTCACTAACAGTACTGGACTGAAAAATGACAACACATGAACGAGACAACTGACTACAGAACAAGCTAGACTTTAAACTATGGTAATTAGGCTAAGTAGAACTAAGTAGAATTAAGTAAAATTAAGTATTTCTGTATTAATATAAGCAATTTAATCGCAAAGGTAAATACAACATTTCATAAAAAGTATTAAGTAAGTAAAGTCATCCACGTATATTAAAATAAGATATATGGTATTTAGGCGTAATACAATCGTTATCAAAGTAGATAACAGCGCACAATACAATCCATATGTTTGTAAATAAAAGGCAGAATTCTGAGCGTAGAAGAAGAGTTATGTACTATATATTTGTGAAGGGTAATTTAAATGTTTATTATGTGTTATACACTTGCATGCGTTAAAATACAATACAAAAATATATAAATATATTTATGTTGCTGAGCGACAGAGAAGAAATGGACTAGTAGGAAACAGACAATAGCAAGCGCCAGCCACGAGATAACACTGCCGTTATCAGTACAAACATCTGTTCCATTCAAACCTCTACTTCCGCCCTATTTAAATAATCAAACCAAACACTGATCAATCCTTCACATTGAAGGAACATATTAAAAACAATATTTATTTAAAAAATTAAGTTGTGCTAAGCCGTCGGTGGAATAAATAATTATTATTTAATACCTCTGTGCATAATTCTTGGTAATTGGCACTAGAGGAGCTTCGAATGAATTTACACTTACAATAACACTATCATTCCTTACATCAACCAACAGACTTTCGAAACTCCATTCAACCATGAATAGCATCCAAGCTGAAAGAGTGTATAATGTGTGTCACACTAGTTAATTAATTAATTATTAGTAAATCAACAGAAATTTAGTAATATATCTCCCAGTCAATCAAATCCATAGCATTTAAGTAGATAAACATTAGATTTTTTCCCTTTTATACTCAGTAAATTAAATTCTTTTTTTTAAATTAAGTAGAACAATTTCTTATTATTAGTAAATTCATTTAGATCATAAGTATCAATAGTAAACTTAAGTAGAGTAGTCGCGATCAATTTTTACCGAATATCCAGGGAATATATCAGTGATAACTAACATCAAAATAATTAATCATCAATCAAAACAATCTCCAAATTCACATCTGAGTAAACGTATCATCAACCTCATATCAACTTCAAAACCCAACGCATTTCATCCACCATTAAGAGGCGTCCAGCGATATAATTAGCGCCCCGAATTTAGTAAGGGCTCAAGAGCTAATTACGAAATTACGTCACATCACATCACAACAGTATACCTTCAAGAACTTCAGAACACTACTCCAGCTTCATTCATCAGTTTACACAACTTCATTCTTCATTCTTCATTCTTCCAACTACTCAACTTCAAGAAACTCATCAAACTTCAGCAACCTTCCATATTTACCAGCAATTACCAGCAATAACCAGACTTCAATACATCCATCTAATTTCATCAACCTTCAGTATTTCAACAACATTCCCAAATTCATCATCAATCATATATCCAACTTCATCAGCCAACAGATCTTCTCAACCCAACTTAATTAAATCTATCACTGATATACGCCCGCCCACATTTCTTAGAGCAGGTTTAGATTAAGCAATCCCACCAAACATAGTTATAAGAAATTCATTCAAAACCATAGTTACCTTTAGTTTATAAAAAAAAAAAAAAAAAAAATAGTTAATAGTTTATAAGCAAGACCGACACACATTATAACCTCAAATGAGTCAAACCAAAAGGAGTGCAGAAAACTGTTGGAACATTCCCACACCGACACCGATGTCACAACGACACAATCTCACGGCGAGCACAATAAAAAAAAAAAAAAAAAAAAAAAAAAAAAAAAAAAATTTCTTCGTCCTTCATCTTTCCCAAACCCCAAAATCACCCCAAAACTAGGAAAAGAAAAAAAAAAAAACAACCCCACCGGGGGGAGGATGTAGCGGACCGCTACAATAGCGCAAGTCACGTGACCACGATGCGCGCGCAGTCGACCCGGGTAGGCACGCGCAGCGAACCAAGAGACGAGTACAGTGTAGTGTCGAGCGCCTGGAGCTGTACATCTAACTGGATAAGTAACTGTAGCCTAAGATGTCTAGCTAATAGAAGTAGGGGTTGGGGAAGGGTGTAGGTTAGGGCAGGAGTAATTAAATTATGTAACTTATTGGATTCTAGAATGGTCGTGGTCTGGCAATTAATATCGTAAATTAGAATTCACTTTTGCTAAGTCTAGTAACCTTTTTCACGAATTAGAATAAGTCCATATATATATATTTCTCTGTTCATTATATTATAATTAGATACATTAAGAACATAAAAGCTGGCTGTGATAGGCAGCTAAGGTAATATTGTGCACTTTGACGAGTTAGATTAATTCCTTGCAATAGAGTTGGGTTAGGACAGGAAATGTGCGTGATTTGGCAGTGGTTAGAGGAAGATATATAGGGCCCAGGTATCTTCATTTACACTCATACTACTCCACATCATCACAATACGACAAAAAAGACACAGTTTTACTAGCGACATTTAGGTTCTGGCTTTTTCTAAAGTAACAATCTTTTTCATTATGATTTAACTTTTTACATATATTACAAAATAAATTTGGCTTTACATTTCTTTTTTCAAACTTGTTAACAAAATTTTTTACATTTCCACAGGTGTTTGCTAAATGACCAACAGCATTGCATTTAAAACAACGCCTCTCATTATCAGAGTTAGCCCTATTGTATGTAGGCTTCTTGCAGTACTTTGCTTTATGGCCTGGAATTTTACAGTTGTGACAAACAACTTGGAACGCAAGATTTTTCTCTAGGCTTACCTCATTTAACTCACTTCTTGATTCTTCTGCTAACAGTCTCGCTGTTAGATTTGCCAATGTCTTTTCTTCATTGGGCATTGATTCCCAGGCAGTTACAAAATACTTAAATCTATCTGGCAGACTGACAAGAATTTTTGATATTACCATTTTGTCATCAATATCTTGTTTTAAAATTTTTAGTCTATGTGCTATGTTTTCAATTCTACTTATGTGAGAACTTATATCAGAATTAGGCTCATACCTGAGGTTAAAGAATTCTTGTAATAACGAGTACTTCTGCTGCTTTGATTCTCTTTCATAAATATTACACAGCTTCAAAAACATTTCTCTTGAGTTTTCACAGTTAATGATATGTAACATCGGTCCCTTCTCATTAGAACTAACTATACACTTCTGAGCCTTGGCATCTCTTTTAATCCAATCAGCCTTCTTCTTTCCTTCACCCATATCTTCAAGTTTCTCAGAACCATCAACAATACTCATCAAATCACTGGATTGAAATATTATTTTAATCTGAAATTTCCACAATGGAAAAGTTTCAACTCCTTTGAGTTTTTCTACGAAATCATCTTCTTTTACTGATGCCATTGTTAGTCTTACTTTTACTTTTTCACTCACCTTCACTACACTTTAACTCTTAGGGTTTTACTAGAAGATTACTTCTTGTTTTTACAGTTATGGTTGGATTAATGGATTTTTCTGGGCCCATAACCTGTTGACTTAAGTGAAAGTAAATTACTAACACCTAAGGTTTTTACTGTTACAATAATTATCTTTTATTTTACTGAAGTACACACACAACATTTTTACTCAAACATAACTTATTCAACAATTCTCTTTACAATAAAAACAATCCTAACTATTTACACATGATCAGCTGTTACCAACATAAATTAAATTAAATACAGAACAAGTAACAGCAAACATATTATATAAAAACTAGCTGACCCGGCGAACTTCGTATCGCCTAAGTTATAGGTTTCCCCTAAGAAAGTACCGTTACGTTTAATTTTCAAGATGATCTCGTTCGCATCGCTCAATCACGTCCTGGTTGAAGTTCGTTCGCTACGCTCACTCACCTTTTGGTTGGAGCTCGTTCGCTACGCTCACTCACCTTTAGGTTGGAGCTCGTTCGCTGCGCTCACTTGCCTTCAGGTTAGCTCGTTCGCTACGCTCACTCGCCTCCAGGTTGAAGTTCGTTCGCTACGCTCACTCACCTTTTGGTTGCAAATTAGCTGTTGTCATAAATGTAAAAGAAATAATAGTGCTGCACCCTGTTGGTAATCCTTGTAACTTTAATGCTATTGAACATCATAGAACAGAACCAACTTGTTTAATTGAAACAGCTGTTAAGATTCATTAATTCCATTTCTCATAAGGGTAACATGGGAAACTCCAGAGCCACTGGGGCGGAGCCCTTTTAAGAATTTCGAAACGGGAAATAGTTTACGTCCGATTCGCATACCTACAGAATTTACACACCAAATTTCATAACGATCGGTGAAGTCGTTCCGGAGGAGTTTGCAGACAAACACTGTGACACGAGAATTTTATATATTAGAAGAGATAAAATACATTCAACAATTTTTAGAAATTTTTTTATGACATTTGGAAGACATTTCACAATAATTTTCTTCTTATAAGATAAAAAATTCTCGATCCAACAAAACTATTGAAACTACTCAAATCTAATCATAATTTTTCAAAGAATATTCAATTGTTATGTCTTAACATTTCAACTAATAACACACGTTATTGTAGGATGTAGAGTATCTAATTGTTATGATAACACAAACCTTCAATAGTAAGTCTGTTGAGGATGTCGACTGCTACTGCGTCAGCCTCCAACTCGCAACAACTCTCCTTCAGTAAAGTTCCAGAGGTAATCCCTGTAACATAACACTTTATGATTAATACTCAAACAATACATGTAGGCCTATATTTTATGATAAAATATTTAAAACAATGTTAGTTACGGTATAATGGAGACTAGTTGTTCTGCCAGTGCTTCGCATAGGAGCAAGCATAATGAATAATAATGTGAGAATAATGTGGGTCTCAAAATCTACTGTAAAACACAGGTACACACACTTGTCATGCGAGTAAAACAGGCAAATCTCAATTGAACTTATTAATTTTTAAAAATTGAAATATCTTGTTTATTTGTTTTAAGCTGTGTGGCGGAATCAAAAGATAAACTCTGGGAAAAAGTAAACAAAGTATAAACTAAAATAAATGTATCGTAGCTGATAAATCTTCAATATTATTTTATTGTCATACCAGTATGTTTTGTTAGTAAACAAACCTAACTAAAATTCTTTCAAAATCCCTGACATTGGTACATTTAAGACGGTCCCAGGGCTTCGTCTTCAGGGGAAAACCCCTGAAAGTCGTCACGAAATTGATTGTGTAAAAACCTAATCCATAAAATTCTACATGTATGTACCAAGTTTCGGGGCCATCGGTCCAGCAGTGCCTGAGTTTATCACTGCCAAACAAATAAAAAAAATCAAACATCCTCTTTTATACTAATAGATTCCACATTTATAGAAACCTTGTACAACATTAACCTACACCATTAAGGTCAAAACAAAACAAATAGACTTACCGGGAGGGCTTGCGTCTTTGCGGTAAACTACACTTTTAACATTGATGAAACTCATTCCATACAAGTTGTAGTCGATGAAGAACTGGAGAGTAAAAGGCACATGACCCTCGTGGATCTGAAACTTGGTCCCACAAACGGCTCCGTTCTGTAACAACACTCAAATGAAAAAATGCATGAGTTAGCAACAAAAAAAAATGTAAATAAATAAAAAGTAGAACGAGATAATCTGAATTAATCTAGCCTATTTCAAAGATTTAGACTAGTAATAACTAACCATCTATGGATAATAGATGGTAGATAATCAGCTACACAACTACTGTAAAGGTTGTTGGGGTTTTTTTAACCTGTTAACTGTGGCTGCGTGATGGCCGGCCGCTGCCGGGAGCATGGACAGCTAATGTGCTGTTTGGATGAGTGCACAAAAATGTTTCAATTTAGTTTCATCCAATAGGAGTGGCATATTATAGCATGTACTGCATCCCAGTAAGTTGTTGTGGACGTAGTTTTACAAAAACCCAATAGAAAGCAGCACTAAATAAAACTGCTAGCCGGTCCTCAGTATTGCCAACTGGAGGAAAAGCAGGGGCGAAGTGCCCGGATACACCACCAAAACATTCCAAAAAAAACGGGACAATGTCAATGACAAATTGTCTCTGACCGGAGACATGCCACAGTAAATGTGTTAAGTTTTCCTTTTCATAAGCGATCACAAATTAAAGAGGTGATTTTAGTCAGTAAGTTCAGAATCTTACTCATACAATTGTGTTTAAAATTTAGCTTAAAATTTGCTTAGTGGCCATTCTATTCAGTTAAAAAAGCAATAAGTTACAATAGTTTATCCATCAAACCATTACCAATTCTAGAGAGCGCCAGTTTTTGTCACCCTAATATGAGTTATCAATCAAGTGTTTGCAGGAATTAATTAAAATTATATCCAAGAAGCAATTAAGACTACAATAATTAATAATAATAATGTAGCTATCAACAGTAAGAAATAATGTAAGGGTAAGTTAGTTTTGTTAATCTTGCACGTTTTTATTGTAAATTTCTGTGCAATATTCAGCAGAGATTGTCAAAGGTGAAGACTCCAAGTAGGTACCTTAACTTGTTAGTAACCTAAGTCAATAATTAATGTACTTATTTAACCAGATCCACTCAATCAACTCACCTGTAATAAATCACACGCTCTTTTCACAACTAATGGATTGTAGAAAAATATTTTAAAGAATTGATGGTCTTTGCTGTGGTAACCGTAAAATGGCCTGAAACAAAACAATTGGTTTGGACATATTGATCTATTGGTACCTGAAAAGAGGCCAAAATACATGTACACTAACAAAAGCTAAAAAAATACATCCAGCCTATTTTCCACATCATTTCTCTTCTGAGGAGTGTCAACTAGGCCTGAGTTAATATGAAAAAAGAGGAAAAAATACTTGTACTATACTAACAAAAGCTAAAAAAATACATCCAGCCTATTTTCCAGAAAAATTTTGTAGTCAACCACATTCTTGAAGGGTAGAAACACTAAGATATTTAGAATTTTACTTTGAGTCAGTTTGAACGGATAAATAAAAATATATCAAAACATATAATTTTACGTAGGCCTACCTGCCAGAAACCTGGACAATTTTGAACACATGTTGTCTACTAGAATGGGAGGTGTTTTGAGATATGTTGATGGCTTTGTCCAAACTTGACGCCAACTGATACATAAGTCTCCCTGCGTCCTCTTCCCCACCATACGGCACCAGAATGTAGGGGAAGACCCCATGGACGTGTAGGCAGGTCTTGTTACCTACATCAAGATTAATTATGAGTACCGTTAAAGGTTAAGATCATGGTTAGTTTTTCGTTTATTTTATGCTCTCACATAGACGTATAAATCTATTGACCAGACACATTTTAAGCTTTTCTTACAAAGTTACCTGAATTTTAAGCTAATTTCAGAGACTGACGTTAAGTTACAGTATTGATTCCTTACACAATGTCAAACATGTTTCATAGCCACCATTATTGCTTTTAAGTTAAATCACCTACGCAAGCACATATCTTAGTGGGTAGATGTAACTATTGCAAGTTGGCCTAGGGTATATAAGGGGACGAGAGAAAATTTATTTTTCTATTTAGGCCTATTTATAAACCTTTGAGTGTTCAATGTAAGCCTATATGACATACGTGTTCGACTGACTAGTCTGTTGTGCGTTATAGAGGATTCAATGCTCGTGAGCATTAGGAAAAATTCTAAGTTAATACATTGTAAGTTTGAAGACAAAAAATATTCACATCCTTATTCTATCAGTCGTGTTTAACCATATAAATGTTTAAATTGCCACAATATGACTCACATAAGTTAGTAGGCCTAAGTAAATTAAGTTATGGCCCATTAAAGGTGAATAAGCTCTCAATCATAGTACCCTAATAACTTAATATGAAAGAAGCTGGACTTCCATGGCGAAGCATAATTAATGTAGGTAGGCCTACCTAGTATTATTAATTTTAAGCTAAGTTATCGGTATACTTATATTTTACCAATAACAAAATATTTAGCAGCTAGCTAAGAAACCCATAAGTGTTGCCTTACAGCATACATTTAACTTATACAAACACAAAGTCTTTACAGTTACCTGAAGGAGTGGAGCCAAAAACTCTGAACACTGGTACACTTTTAATTTGGGATCCTCTGAACTGAGAGTAGGTTAAGTCTAGCCCTGATTTGGGCGGGCACATGTAGTGATCTACATTGACAATCCTCAATGAAAACATTTCATATCATGTTACAAATACCTGAAATAAAATTTCATGTTAGGCCTAGTTATAGCATACTTAGTTAACTGGTTTCAAATCAAGTTTAGAGACCAAGGCCTATAAAAAGTTTTGATTGGTTTTAAGTAGACTAATATGCGCTTGGAGTACTTGTATTATCCAGAGGCCACCCTTATACAGCGTGCTGCGGGGGTTAGGTTAGGTTGAGTTATCATAAATATGTTTGTAGGACTTTCCTCGTTTCGTTATTTGAATCTAACGATACAAGATGAGTCATACTTTCGCCCGCCAAATCCCCTCCAAGTAGGCCAAGGTCAGGTCGTTGACCGGAGCCGAGCATCAACTGTCACCGCCTTGTATCTGGGTCAGTGCCCTGAGTGATGACTCATCTTGTATCGTTAGATTCGAAAAACGAAACGAGGAAAGTCCTACAAACATAAGTATTTATGACAACCCAACCTAATTAATATAACCGCAGCAGCACACTGTATACCTAATTGACGGAGTAGCTACATGTGGCAGCTAGCGGCGGCGATGCATTCAACTCAATCCTTGCTGACATCGCTGCCTTCTGGGAGGCAGAACTCAAATTCCACTAATTGTAATTGTGTCAAATTTGGACAGTAAGTGAATTAAAGTAAGTTATGTCCCTTCCAATTATATACTGTAGTCATTTTTGGTCTCCCGTAAAAAATTCCTCTAAAATAAGTGGCCTCCAAATAATACCAAAGTACCAAACCCTGTGTAGGCCCAAGGCTAGGCTTATGATGTCTAAAAACTAACCTCTCTGTTAAAATTATCCCTTGCTGTTGACAAGGTACATTAACCTAATTTGTAACATTTAACACAGTACTGTAGATAGATAAATAGACCTACATTAATAGAGTAGCCTACGTAGCTTAACTGCATAGCTCATGACAAAAACCTGTTCAGCTTTTACACAAGATTAAGTAAGTTATTTGTCCAACAACACTGGCTTACACAAGACAAATACAGTAGAGCCTTAACTTATCATGAAAAGTGTTAAAAGAGTGAAATTCTTTGTTAACGTCTAGCAAAAATTAAATAGATTCTGATAATGCTATAAGGGTAGGGTGTAGTTAAGCAAATTAAAACACGTACAAAGAATAATCTAGTCACAAAAGTAGCTTAACCACGACCAGGACCTACCAAAACAACAAATATATTGCTCCAAAAAGGGCATGTCTTCCAACAACAAAGTATCACATTTTCAAGTTTCTTCAAGGCCACACACGAAATCCTCCATCAACAAATTTCATTTTCGACACGACATCATTTGTAAGGATTTATGTTCTTAATTGGAATAGTAATGATATTTACCAAGAAACAAGCGAATGTCCAAAATGAGGTATTCTCAATGGTGGTGCAATTGAGATCGCAGAAAAATATTTATGACATCCACGCACAAATTTAACAGCTTGGAGCAAGAGCAAAGATAGGGCTGACGGCTGATGGGAAATGTGACTCGGCTGTGTGTGTGATAGTGGTGTGGTACACAAATGGCGCCATCGAATCGGATCACCTAATTTCAAATTATGTCAGCTGGTGGAAATATAGAGCATTGTGGGAATCATTGATTTCTCTTTATGCAGACTGGACTGGGTAAGAAATCTAACAATTGACTATATACACATAAGTGTTTACATAGTCAATGATCTAACACTTTAATCGCGGTAAACCATAGCATAGTTTAAAGGTTTAATTTAGCTTAATACTTGACTTTGTCTTTTGCTGTAAAGCATAACGACAATATTTTATTTATTTATATAATAAATGTTGCATTTGCTTAACCTAAGCAAACACAACATAATATTTAATATGATTAAATTATAATCATAGATAAAACATTCTTTGAATTAGTCTGATTTGTACATACTGCTTCACAGCAACTTTATATCCAGTAATTGATACTAAGTAATACAGCAGTTATGTTTTATCCATGGCAGTATCTGCTTTTTTAAATGGATTATATGCATTTTTCTTTTGTTTTTGAGTGGAAAAAGAAAGAAAATTACATTTTCCTACAGTCACCCGACAAAGTTGGCTTCCTTGTACTGTTTATAGTACAGAAAGCTGCTAATTGCTGCATATTTATACTTTGCCGTACGGTTTATACTTTGCCGTACGGTTTATACTTTGCCGCACATCAGGATTCCAACGAAACAACACAAAACAGCGTGGTTCCATTATGCACGTAATCCGTGTACGCTTGGAAATAGGTTGGCAACACTTAAAGATAATTATACTATGAGCAGCTGATTGACTATTATAACTACGATTTAACCTGTCATTTCGTGTTTATAGTTTCGGTATTTCTGAACTTTCTGGACTTTTCTTTTAAACGTTTTTAAAACCTTCCTATGATCTTAATAAACAAGAAAATACCTTTTAAGCATTTTTTTAGGCGCGGAAACCACTTCAAATTACAAAAAACATACGGAACTATATTCTCAAAACGCGGAGCACATTTCTTGCCGAGGAAAAATAGCGGAGTGATATGGACCGCTGGTACTACTTTCTCTAGGGCATCATTTGTGTTGCCAGCTGAACCTAAAAACGTGTTGCATAGTGTTTGAAAGACTAATTATTTATATGCTTTATAGTGACTGTAGGAAAAATATAATGTGTAACACGAGTGAAAAAGGCCTTTGCTGCACTCGAGATCATTCCACACTCGCCTGCGGCTCGTGCGTAAACATTGCTCTCGTGTGCAGCAAAGTGCCACTTTCACCACTAGTTACACAAATGACTATTTCCACAAAAAAAAAACATTAAAAATGTTGATACGATCATAAACATATTACAGCTGTCAACATAAAAACTTTGGGCCAGTTTCTCCACATTTCAGGTTTTAGCAGAGACTGCCTTTTTCCTTAGTAGGACATTATTGACAATACTGTATTTAAAGATATCGACAACTGTTGTCTGATTTTAATGAAATCTGGTATGTAGGTACTATTCCATGGTATCACAAGGTTTTTTAATTTTTTTAATGTTAATTTTCCCATAAAATGACGGAAAATCTGATTCTCGAAAATGGCCCAAACGATTTTGATAAAATTTTAGTATGTTGTAGCCCTTTAAATTCTTAACAAAATTGCAGAACTCCCATTCCTGTACAAATTACGATTCAAAAGTTATTGTAAATTGTATTATTTTCCCATAAAACCCCCATAACATAAGAGAAACCCGCACTTTCGAAAATAAAACCAGTTTTGATTGAAATTTTAGAATTTTTCGATTTTGAACCTTTTATAACTAACAACATAGTGCAACCATCAATTGCTGTAAAAACTACTGTTTGAAAGTTATTGCAACTTATGTTATTTTCCATATAAAATGCCATCATATTGTTACCACGGCCACCGGGGCCACCTTTAACTGCAGTCCGTGGCCTGGTAGAATTGACAACGTCACAAGTCATGTAGTCTTGTTCAGCGCCAGACATCCCATAAGATAACATGGCAGACAAGTGACGCCATCTCATTAATTCGCGTACTGTATTATTAATTTAGTTTCAAATTTATTTGAATATAAATTTATAAAAATATAAAAAATAAAACATATAGAATTGAAAACCAAAACAATATAAATTGAAAAATCTATTTCTGTACAGACAAAGTCATGCACACAATCCAGTTTCTTCTCAATACAATATCAAAGGCTGGGCTTAGAATAAACAATATAAAACTTTGAAAAAAAACCTTGGTTTGCATACCTGATGGGGATCAACTTAGATCACTCCAAAAAGGTAACTCCTTTCAACTTAATAAGTTGATCCGAGTTTTAATTCTGAAATTGTTTATGAATAAGGTAGTTTTTTTAACTAGCCAATCCTTCAAAGTAATTTTATATTTCGTGCCTTCTTAATCCTTGATTTTGTTTTTTAGAAGGTTGAAATAAATTTACCCTGACCCCCAAACATATAGATTTCTTTCAGTTCTACTGAAGTTGCCCCTCTCACTCGGTAGAAGTCGTCGTCATCCATTGCGTCTGGTGTTGTAGATGTGGTTTTTAGTATTCGTGGTTTTTACTGCTTTGCATGTGTGCTTTACATCATTTTTCACGAGCATTACCGGTATAAGTTGACAAATGTAGAGTCCATACAAAGTGAGGATGTTGAATTTTTCAAAAATATCTTTACAAGATATGTCAGCTATTTTCTGAAGCACTTCTCATCTGCGCTACGGTATTTTAGCCTGGGGCTAAAAAAACTTGGAAAAACATTTTACTCCACAAAAAAATCAAATTAGAAAAATAACCAGATCAGAAGAATCAACCAATCACAAGCCCATTTTCATTCAACTCAATAATGACAGTAGTAATCTCACTTAATATCGGCGAATCCATAATCCTTATCATTTGAGCCAATCCCAACCAAAGACAATCGCAACACAACCACATCAACACTAGAAGTAAAAAAAAAACATAGACGACATACTACAGACTTCAAAAAGCAAACAACACACCCATATGCACTCTGAATCAATGTTATAATCAATTACACCAACATTTCAAATCAAACACACCCAATTTTGAAAAACAAATTAAAATTGTATCTAACTGCCAGGCCATTAGACACAAAAAAGAATAATTCACAGAGGACGAGAACACATACACAAAACATAAATACACGAAACCTGAAACAAAGGAAACTTTCAAAAAAGGAAGAAAATTGACGACTCCCCGATCAAATGATTGTGGCGAAGAAACCAAGTAAGAGGCAGTGTGAAACTTCTTGGGTTCTGTTTGGACCTCAAGCTAAGAACTAATTAAGCAATTAAGCTGGAACTCCCACATTGATAGGATCGGTATCTAGGGTAATCTCTTTCCTAAGAAAAATTCGGAACGTCGTCCCGAATCATTTCATGCATTCATCTTATATATAGCAATTTGGTACAACGTACATGGTAGGTCTTACTTACTGAAAAAAGCTCTGAAACGTGTAAGAATTATAATGACAGCCGAAAACAACGAACATGTGTTAGTAGGTAGTCCCCTTTTCAAAGATATCGGTGTATTCTTACAGATTTAAGCCAGTATGTTGAAAATCCTTACACTTTTGAACAAGAATTTCCACCTGTTTGACAGAAGAGAATAATTACACCACCACTAACTCTAACTTATGGCCCTCGACCAGCCCTACACCTCAATATGCCCGATGTCGTCTTACCCACGCCTTGGTCTTACCCGCAACCTAAAGAAATACCCCCGCCGCAGCAAACCTTGCAGAAGAACCGAATTTCAACTTGTCTGATTACATTTTTACTAAAATATTTCCATAAATAAGACATATTTATTTCCTATTTAAATAACATTAGATTTAACGAGTGCTTAGGTTTGCTGCTAGGAGGAAGGTAAAAAGTGTTTTTTGACCATACGTCAAAAGTTTAGGATGAAATAAATAAATTTGCCAACTTTTATCAATATATATCCATAAACAAGTAAACTTCAACAATTTTTAATTTTCTCCATAAGAATAACATGTGGATTTTAAATTACACTATTTTTGAATTTTCTCCGTGACCGTTAGGCATACAACAGCGCTTCAATATACTAAATTATTTATTTTTTTAAGCTCTACAAAACGGTTTAGAAAGAAATTGCAAATTTTTTTGTTTTTAGGGTCAAAAATGGGAAAACCCCATTTTTACCCCATAATCCCCTGTTCCCATTGTCCGATTATGCTGGATCGCGAACTCGTTCGAATAAACGTAGGTTTATTCGTTTGTACGTTTATTCGTTTGTACCATGGTGGAAGGAAAAAACATAGGTGTGCTATTCCCACTTATTCTGACGTCACTCGGATTGCAAACAAAAGATCATCTGATTGTAACTGTCAAATTAGTATATGTATTTGTTTTGATTTGGTTGTTATTGTTTTTATTATTATTATTTTTTTTACAGCATTTATTTCTGGTTCAATGTAGACATTATACACAGAAGTGTTAACAAAATTAAAAAGAAATTAACTATAATAACATCGTGGGTTCGCCCAAACCTGGTACACCCTGTAACATAATTAATTTAGAGAATAATTTAATCGTCTTTAGGCTTCATTCATCCAATAGATCTTGAGGGAGCCTTCGACGTAGCCTCCTGTTCTCAGTTGCTTCACCAAGATGAAAAGTTAATGCACCAGGAACACCGTTTAAAGATTTTAGAAATTTTGAGGTGGTTTTTTCAATAAAGGCCGAGATAGACTCCACTCCTAGTTCTTCATGTATATGCCTGTTTCTAACAAACCAGGGAGCATTCACCGCTATTCTTAGAATTTTGTTTTGAATCACTTGAATTTTGAAGAGTTTGTTTTTTGATATAGCTAATCCCCAGATAGGAGATGCATATGTAATCAAGGGCCGAATTATTGATTTGTAGATTAGAACTGTACAAGCTGGCTTCAGAGTAGATTTCCTATTGATTAATGGGAAAAGCTTTGCAAGGCGTGCATAACCTTGGGACAGTTTTTGATTAACGTGGTAGTTCCAATTAAGTTTTTTGTCCAGCCATACTCCAAGATATTTTATGGCCTGGTCATCAGGGTTCCAAGGTAGAAAGTTACCATATATTTGAATTTCATGTGGCAATGTATGTTTTTTCAAGGAAAATATTTTTGTCTCACATTTAGTTGAATTTAGGCAAAATTTCCACTTGTAGAACCAATCAATGAGAAGATCCACAGAGTATTGCAGGGAATACGTGGCCTCGTGGATGTCGGAATGTTGGCACAGGATAGCAGTGTCGTCGGCGTAGAGAGCTAATGAGGCGTCTTCTGGAAGAGGGATGTCTGCCATGTATAGATTGAATAATACAGGGCCCAAAATTGAACCTTGTGGAACTCCTGCATTGACTCGTCGTACAGATGATTTGGAAGAACTAATTTTAACAGAGAAGGTCCTGTGACAGAGAAACGATTTTACAATACTGGTTAAATATTTTGGAAATCCGAAATTAATCAATTTAAAGACAAGACCGTCATGCCATACCTTATCAAATGCCTGAGATATGTCAAGAAATGCCGTTACTGTGTGCTGTTTCCTCTCAAACCCTTTGACTATCGTTTCATATATTAGTAGGATTTGATGTATGGGCGAATGTTTTAAAAACAATAACAACCAAATCAAAACAAATACATATACTAATTTGACAACAACAACACAACAGATCAGATGATAACAATCAATACAACATGTGTTGATGTTAACAATCAATGGTAACAATCAGATGATCTTTTGTTTGCAATCCGAGTGACGTCAGAATATGTGGGAATAGCACACGCGTTTGTACCAAATAAAATGTCATCAAAATCGGATCATTTTTGCTCGAGTTATCGCGCTAACGGACATATATATATATATATATATATATATATATATATATATACACATATATATACATATATATATATATATATGTCATAATAATTCATATATATATATATATATATATGAATTTGAACGGATGGTGTTTTTGGCCTCTAGGGACCTCAAAATGACAAATTAAATCGGTCCCGGGTCCAGGTTTTACCATAACACTCCATAACACTGTTTTCTGTTTTCCACATTGTAAAACACGAAAAATGTCCCAGCACCTAAACAAGATTTTTTTTTCAAGAAAATCAACGATTCGTTTTTCCTCTAAAGTATTTGGCCTTTAAATTTAACAGCATGTCTACTCTATGGTAATCGTGCGTAATAAATCTTACTCGTTGCGTCGACTTTTACATTTCCCTTTTTTTCATTGCCCTAACCTATTTTTACATTTGCATTTTACAATTTCATTGATGATTGATTCAATTATTACTCACTAGCCTAGTTAGTGAATCATAAATTTCACATAACAGGATACGAATGTAAGTAATCAATAAAATCAAATTCCGTTTGACTTATTTTGAAGTGTGTATTAACAATTTTCGATTTAATATGTGCCTCTAGCCAAGATGAATAATCTTTTGATATTCTTGAGCTACAAGTTATTTTTTACACTTTAAATTTACTAATATCATGAATGCCATTTAAAATAGCATTAGGCATAAGTTAGGCCTAACTAATCAAATAGGCTAGTTTTTCTTTATAATCTATAATTTAACATAGGTCTACTGTTACTGTATCATCTCACATTACAGGTTTAATAGAGACCAGGAAGTAAAAATTTGTCATGTCAGTGGGCCTTAGGCCTACCATGAATAATTATTTAATTGCCAATTGGTACTAACTTGATGAATAGGTTGCACTTTAGTATCTGCCCTACACTCATTCGAATGAATATAGCCTATCGATTTAAGTTAGGCCTAGGCTTTATACAGGCCTGTGAATGATTTCATTCGATATAACTTAAGTTAAATCAAGTTTGGTTAGTTCCTAACCAGGGCCGTCCCTAGGGTTGTCAGCGCCCGGGGAAAATGTTGTCGCAGTGCCCCCTCCCCCCAGTACTAGTAGCATTTGCATATTTTAGCTTCATACTACATTACGTTTATATTTTTATTACACCTAAGTAGGCCTATAGCTCAACCAAAGCTTGTTGTGCTTCGGTACCCTACTTGCCACTAAAAAACTAGGTAGGCCTAGAAGCCTACTTATGTCCGTGACCAGGTCCGCTTTTGTCCAATTTTAATTTCTGGTTTATCACCTGGCTGCTTTTAGGACCCCTCTCCTAAACCAAGTTTGTCGCGATCCAGAATGATGTGCTTTGCAGCCTCAACAAATAGCAAAGTCAACACTCCTGTTTGTCATTGATGATATCCAGAGTATGAAGGTCTTTCCTGAGATCATCGTATTCTGTAATGAGAGCAAGAACCTGCTTGACCTGACCTGTTTTTTATGTTTACTGCAAATACCAAGTCTTTTCTTGGTTAGGCGTATATATTTGTTTTGGTTTTATTATTCCAAAAATCCATAAAATAGTGAAAACACTGAAAACAATACAGTTAAACAATTCTACAACAGGTCAACTTCAATTGTTAATTGTTGTATTTTTCTTTTTTCTCTTAAATATTTTTTGTACCTATTATTGGAAGGGGTTAAACTGTTTGTTAATATTGAACAATATTTATTTATCATAGTTGTTAGCTGATATGTTTTAATTCGTTAATGTTGATATATCGGATCGAAAAATAAAATATCTGGTACATTGAAAAAAAAATCGTAGATAATAATGAATGTTCCCTTTAATAGGAAAGTACCAAACAAAGCTCACTGTTAATAACCTGCTCGCTGATGATACCCTCTTCCTGATGTTAATAATGGGGTAAAGTTTGCCAATATTATAATAAATTATTATAGGCCTATTCCTGACATAAGCTGAGTAGGCTTAACTAATATTTCATCCCTAATATTTATGTCTCTAAAAAGAAGTTTTAATAAACACACTGTTTAATGGGACAGCCTAGTATTGCTAGGTTTGAGACATCTTTACTTATCCTATGGTTATAAATAAAATATTTTTTTTTTCTTTCAGAAAATGCCTTTCAAGTTGAGATTAAAGAAGAGCCGACAGTACAATGTTGTTTCAAAATCATTGTTTGTAATATGTGTGGAACTTCTCGACAGCACAACAATCGAGTGCACTTTGTCTGCTGAAAGTGTCGGGAGAGAATGCCTTGACAATGTTTGTCAAAGACTTGGTCTCCAACAGGTAATTAATTTTGACTTGTATACCTATAGGTTAAATCAAATTAGTGAGACCATTTCAACTGTAACACACCATCTATTGTATTGTGATCTTGTTTGAAGTAAACCTCAAGCAAATCTGCATTTTGTAATTTGGTGGAAATCTAGAATATATAGCGTACCGTACTGTATATACTAGTCGAAGGCTAACAAAATTTCTTTCTTAATGCTTTGGATTGAATTACTCTTAGATAGTGGCGAATCTTCAGGATCAAGATAATTTGTAGAGTTAGAGTGTACTATTCAATAAGGTGTTGGAATACAAATTATGTTGCTGACATAGCTCTAAAGTTAATTTTTTATGCAACCTAATATACCATAGACTCACAAAGCAGAAAACTTGTTTTGGTTCAAACAGCGATAGGCCTAACTTGCAAATAAACATTCATCAATAAAATTCTATTTCAAATATGCTACAATCTGCGAGTATCATTGGTCATTAAATTATAAAAACACATAAGCTGAATTTAGTATAGCCTATCCTAACAAACTTTCATGTTGTAGCCAGAGTTTTTCGGTTTGCGCTACATTTCCCGCAGCGGGTCTCCTAGATGGGTGGAGCTCGAGCGACCACTCAAAAGGCAGCTCGACAAACATGCACGAGACTTCAATCTCTACTTAAGGGTTATGTTCTATGTCACAGGCATCAATCTTCTACACGATGAAATGACGAGGTGAGTATAATTTGACAACTAAGTAAAGTTTTTATTACGTGATGTAAAAATGTTTCTTGATTTTTTTTTTTTATAAAATACCTGTGGACACAATTCTTAGAGTATTTCCCATATAGGGAATAAGCTAAATTACCGTAGGTGTCATGGTAAGGCCTAGTTCCTGGGCCGATTTACTTTCTCGTTTTTATGTCCCCAGATAGGTACCAATAATGCAGTTGTAAATCGTATATAAGTTATGTGTGTGTTTCTGTTAGCACGATAATTCTAGTAAAAATCAACAGATTTCAATAAAATTTGATACACACAAACAAAAGTATCCATTCAAACGAGTCCGCGAACAAGCATGATCGAACTATGGGGACAGAGTCTTAAGAGTAGGTCATGGGCAAAAATTTGGGTTTTTCAAAATACAATATTTTGCTATTTATTTCTAAGTCATTCTTTAGATCTAAAAAAAAAACAAATAATGTATTGCACTGAAGCCTGCAGCAGTAGTGTAAATAACTCCCAATGCAATCTTAAAGACCGCAGATTTTAAACAAGATGTTGCCATGAACGTGGAAAACCACGACGAGTTTCAATGACCAGGGGAGACGATTATGTCCACATCAATGCAGGAGATATTTAAGATTTGGTCGCAATCACGGAAAACAATGATGATGTTTCCATGGCCATGCGAGGTGATTAAAAAGGTCCGTGAGAGTTTTCATATTTAGCCGCGGCCACGGCTTTTGCTGGGATAAACGAATAAAACATAAGTGGTTATGTTTAGGTTGGGGTTAAGTAGTCCAAGCAAACTAAACAAACTTACATAGGGATCGTTAAAAAAATTGCAAGAAAACGTTTTATGGTTTTATTTTGTAGAGTTGGGTTTGCAGAATGACATACTAAAAGTTGCCAAAAATCGGTGCACGAGAAAATCACTAAAATCACAATTTAAAATGGCGGCTTTTTCCAACATTGGACAAATAAAAAAAAAAAACATATTTCACATGCATTTGTTATGCACATTTTTCGAGATTTTAACTTGGGACCACCGCCTGTATTTATTGGGTGGTTAGTAATTCATTTTGATATGGAACATGTTTTTGGCCGCCATCTTGGATCCGCCATATTGGACATAGATATTTTTTTTTCAATGTAATGATAGTGTTGTGACACATCATTACCAACTACATTTTTACACTGATTTCAATGCCAAAATCCGTTTTTAAATATCTATATTCATTTAGAAGATATATTAAAAAAAAAAAAAAACTCTCCACCATACATTTCTTATGGACGTTTCGTAGTTTGATAATTGTTTTAAAATTATTTTTCTTATATCTCCAGTTCTTATTGACGCTTGTAGTTCGTTCTAGGCTTAAAATATTCAGTAATGTAAGGGCTTTCATTTGAGCTCTTGATCATTAAAATCAGACGAGTTAAAGACCAGCTACAAACCTCAGAACAATATTAAATTTAACTTTTTAGAAATATATTTTTATTAAAAGATTTATAACTCGGGTTGTTAATACGTCACCAAGTTCTTTCTGGTCTCAAATTACTCAGTGAATGTTTAGCTTTGATTTTATTAATCACTAAACAAAATCTGACAATTTTAAAATGAGTCATGGTTCTTAATTTAACATTAAAATGTATTTATTTTGAAATTTGTCTTTAGTTAAGGACATATATCCCAAACCCTAATAACTCCCGGAAAGTAATCCATAGCTAAAATAAAAGTCAATAATTTGGCGAATTATTTAAGACTATAAAGAGATTTGGGAGTTATTTAGAATTGGGGATATACGTCTTTAACTAGAGTCAAATTTCAATATAAATACATTTTAACGTTAAATTATGGTCCATGACTCATTTTAAAATTGTCATATTTTGTTTAATGATCAATAAAATTAAAGCCAAACATTTAATGAGTAATTTGAGACCAGAAATAACTTTGTGACGTACTAACAACCCAAGTTATAAATCTTTTAATAAAAATATATTTCTAAAAAGTTAAATTTAATATTGTTCTGAGGTTTGTAGCTGGTCTTTACCTCATCTGATTTTAATGATCAAGAGCTCAAATGAAAGCCCTTACATTACTGAATATTTTAAGCCTAGAACGAACTACAAGCGTCAATAAGAACTGGAGATATAAGTAAAATAGTTTTAAAAAAATTATCGAACTACGAAACGTCTATAAGAAATGTATGGTAGAGAGTTTTCCTTTGAATATATCTTCTAAATGAATAAAGATATTTAAAAACGGATTTCGGCATTGAAATCAGTGTAAAAGTGTAGTTGGTAATGATGTGTCACAACACTATTATTACATTGAAAAAAAAAAAAATATCTATGTCCAATATGGCGGATACAAGATGGCGGCCAAAAACATGTTCCCTATCAAAATGAAGTACTAACCACCCAATAAATACAGGCGGTGGTCCCAAGTCAATATCTCGAAAAATGTGCAAAGCAATTGCATGTGAAATATGTTTTTTTAGTTTGTCCAATGTTGGAAAAAGCCGCCATTTTAAATTCTGATTTTAGTGGTTTTCTCGTGCACCGATTTTTGGCAACTTTGAGTATGTCATTCTGCAAACCCAACTCTACAAAATAAAACCATAAAACGTTTTCTTGCAATTTTTTTAAGGTCATATCCTATATTTCTCCGACTAAAGGGGCGCCACCTACATACAGTGCAAAGAGATGCTGCTTAATGTACCTACGCCACTGGCCTGAAGCATAGCTTAATTGCTTAATAGTTATGGAGATTATTTAAAAAATGTAAATTATAAATTCCAAACTGTTGTAGTTTGCTTGGTTATATTTTGATAAATTTTTCTGTTAATTTTATACCAAGCTATTAACTTAAAAAAACAAAAAAAAAACTTTCTTACCTTTACTGTAGCAGCAAACCTAAGTACTTATTAAATGGCTTTGTTTCTAGCCTAGTGGATAGCTCCTGGACATCGGTACTGGGGGGACGGACGTTCCATGCCCGGCTTATCTACAACACATGCCCTTTAAGTGTTTTGAGCACACTGCACACTGCCTTTTTTAAAAATGCCACCGACATTGATAGCAAGAAATAAAACCTAGTGTTATTTAAATAAATAATCCATATTATTTTTAGTGTTAGAAATATATATGACATGTTAAAGCAACAAATATGTTATTGAATAGGCTATCCAATCAGGTAAATGAAAATTTGCTCGGTCGGCAGGTTTTCTGTGTCAGTAGTATTTTTTGTATTTAATAAAATGGCAAGATATTCAAGTCTGCTAAAACTTATAACTATAATAGACTTACTATAAATAGCTACAAGAGGTTCGACCCGCAAATTCACGGGTGTACAGAATCCACCCAACTTTGACTTTATATTTCATTTAGAGGGCCCAAGTTCGAGAAATTGTCATCTGAAGTGAAAGGATGTTAAAAGCAGCGGAACCTTCATACATTACGTCCAAAGGTGGCCGAGGTGGGTACGGTTGTACCTGAACTCGCCGCTCTCCTTCACGACGTCTTTGATACTTAAATACTTGTCAATGAAATGGCGACCTGTTAAAGATCGGTGACAACCTCTTGGAACGAACAACTTACATGTTTTGTTAATCTCATATTTATCGTGTTCGAGCACTTTTAATCACTCACTTGTATCAAACAGCTAGAATTGCTTCACTGCCCATTCGCCGCACCTCTTTTAAGAACATAAAAGTAAATAATAAAATAAGTAAACAAAAATCTAAACAAACAAACTATATTTTCAATTGCATTGGCCAGCTGTTGTTCACTAAATTAATCGAATAACGTTAACTTCCAAAACATGCAAGGCGTAGCCCTTTGGAAATCAGCCTGTGGGGCAGAGCACTTAGGGAGTTCGTCCATATCAATACTTTTCGGCAAATCTACACACTCTAAGCTTCATTTTGATATGCCATATGCCTATATTTTTATTTGGTAAATGACCTTAACCGTTTACAAAAAATTTGATTGTATCACTTTAATAATATAATAGATCATCAAGATTTGATTGGTAGTATTAAGTTATATAGTCCACATTATCTTTACTAGTTATTTCCATTTCCTGTCCAATCATACAATTGTATATTTTTTCTTCATGCAGGTATCATTACTTCTTACAATTGAAAAATGACGTAATCGAAGGAAGAATGAGCTGTGATCCGAAACAGGCTGTGCTCCTGGCCAGCTACTGTATGCAAGGTAAGGTTATGTCTACTAGGACATTGAAGTAAAAAGTTGAATTCCTAGGTTGTCACCAGAAATTTCGTTGACATACTTTTGGTTGATCGCATATCATATAATATTGAAATTATCCTCACTGGTTCATGAGTGACAAGGGTTTATAACTTTTGCTATGCGACTACCCTACAACTAGATACTGTACTTGACAAACAAATTCATTCTAAATTGAGAATCGTAAACTAAAAACTAGTTTGTTTGGTTAACTTTGTTTGGCTGTTTCAGCTGAATTTGGTAACTATGATGTGGAGCGACACACTGCTGAGTATCTGAAAGACTTTGCCTTGTTTCCGAAGGTGAGTTTGTTTGAGTTTGATATATTTCCGTGTTAAATTACTAATTTTTATACTAATTTTTATGGCCAAACTTTTTCATTTCGGGTTGGGTCAAAGATTTTGACTCGGGGTCTTGGGGTCAAAAGTCTTTGACACGAAATTGGTTTGCAAATATTGGCTTACAAATAATACCTGTAATATTACAATTAGGTTATATATAATATTGTACAAGACCCTCCCTACATTACAGTGAAATCGTGAACATTTTCTGCGGCCACAGCAAAATGAATTATGAACATCATTTGCAGTCAGGGCGAAATTGTGAATGTCGTCTGTGGTCTTGACAAAATTGTAAATTTCATTTGTGTGCAATTCAAAATTTTGAACAACTTCGCAGTCACGGCAAAATCAAGAACATCTTCTGAAGTCACGGTTGAATCAAAAACATATTTTGAAGTCATGGTAAAATGTTGACATCTTAAAAAGGGGTTACGACAAATTCCTGAGATTCATGGCGATGTCATAATTGTCTCCCACGATTGTAATCACTGGGAATAACGGTAAAACTGTCAATTTTTAATCTGCTGCTCATCATTGCAGACCAGTTCTGCAATTGTGTAAAGCCCAGAAATAATTTTGTGTTTAGTTAATCCAACTTTAGTTTTTTACTCAAAAATGCTTTTTGTTAAGATATTGACCTTATATGAATGATAAAAAGTAAATTCAGGCATAAGAAACACAATTAAACTTTACACTTTACCCAAAGGTTTCTAGAATATCTCACTGACATCAATTTTACCAAAAAGAGGTTTGAGTTGGGAAGAGTGTTCAGTTGCCAGTCTTCAGGTTCAATGGTATCTAGGTGCGTTTTTGACAGTGTTGCCAGTAGTATCCTAACTTAAGTGTTTATTTTATGTTTTTGGTGCTTCTTGTGCCGGAAATGACTCTTTCTCATTCAGGTGTTATCCCAAAGGAAATCAAACCTTGTGTTCTATCCTTAAATCATGTGTTTGGCTTGGCATTCCTGAATCTTTTTATTTAGCAGAAAAGAATTATAAACAACTTGGCTTTCATATTCCTCAGCACTTGACTCAGCAAGGACACCTAGAGAGCTTGACGGAGGCAGTGATACTGCAATACTCAGCCCTGGCGGGGCTGGCGCAAGGAACCGCTGAGGAATACTACATCTTAGCGGCGCAGCAACTGGACGGCTATGGGCAGGAAACCTTCCTCGCAAAGGTAATTAATCTATACGTGTATCCACCTAACATTTTCTTTGCAATTGCATTTAATAATTTTATCTAGGCAGCTATATACATTGTGTAGGCCTACATTATATTTTAAGATGAATAACATGAATGCAGCCGGTAAGTGTACAATGAACTGAGGTGATCTTTGAAGTTTTCTTACTGACTACTATTAAACTTAGCTGTTTCCTTTAGCCAGAACCACTATTGAAAGATCAGTGTTGAACAGCTGGTTCCATTTTCAATATGAAGGAGCTATGGAAAATCTTTTTATTTTATCAGTAAGGACAAAGGATTATTTCTAAATTCAAAACAATTGGCCCCGAGGTGGTACAATATGAGGATATGTCATGTAAATCCTTGATTTTATCAATCATAGTTAGGGCCACCTGGAACTATCTTACACTTAACCCGCATATTTATGAATTCTAGAGGTTGTCCAACGGTTGAAAACTCGACCAAAAATATATAGGCCCTAATGTACATTGGAACTTTTTCCACTTGTTTTGATTTTCTGTTTATATTTCGTTGTTATTTCGTCACCATCATGGCAACCCATGTTAATGTGTTTTAAGTTTTAATTAATTTTTGTGCTTATTTTTTATCCTATTTTTATTTGTAAAGGGATTCTGTACATCTACCGAAAATATCTTTCTAACAGTATGCGTAGATTTTCCCTGCGATGCACACGAGCTGAGAAAAAATGTTTTCAAGAAACATGCTTGCCTTGTGCTGTGGTCTATTAGCTTCTATATACAGTAGACTCTTGATAATTCGAAATTGGTGGGACAAGCATAAAAATTTGAATTATCAAGAGTTTTGAATTATCAAGAGTTCGATTTATCGGGAGAAAAATAAACCATTCGAATTACAGAGAGTTCATTTGTTTAATACATACAAAGGTACAGCACGTTATAATAAAACATCATACCGCATTTTAGTACACAATCAATGGCTTATTTTTCAGTTACTGTAGTTGCAAAGAAATCTATTATTTAGCGCCATATATTTCGCCAATAGCTGAACTATCAGCTGTCGACAACTACATTTGTGCTCAAGGAGATGTCGCGCAATCTAGAGATCGGATTGCCAACTTAGAAAAACAAGTCAGCGAACTAACTCAGACTACTGCTCTAACTAAACAAACATCAAAACATCCAACACTAGCCTACCATGGGAACAGGATGTACTGTACTGTATAGTTTCCTGTTATAACAGGCAGAGAGATCACTTCGAATTATAGAGTGTTTTGCCGACGAAACTTCGAATTACTGCATGTTACAAATTGACCTGCCCTCTATTTAAACTTTGAAATACCGAGTGTATCAAAATGCATGGTAAAAATTTGAATTATTGAGAGATTCTCTAGGGACTGAGCCTTCATTTTGAATTATCGAAAGTTTTGAATTATCAAGTGTTTGAATTACCAAGAGTGGACTGTAATAATAAATCTGATATAATAGAACACATTATTTACATAGACAGTATTTACAAAAACCACTATATTTACTAAGAAAAATGTAATTAAATAAATAATAAAATTAACCAACAAAAAATACTCACTCAACCAATTTGCAAGCGCCATAACAGTCCAAGGACTATGTAGTAGATCTTCATAGTCATTGCAGTTTGGGGCTAGGAAAATTAATCTCATATTGCTATTATGCTTATAAAACTGCTAATCCTGTATTTTTAACTTTTAAATCTTCAAATTCATCTGTTCTCTGAAGAAAAGTACATTGTTGAATTTATAAATTCACATTTTTTATCAGTTTGTATTTTCACATGATTTTTGTACATGCAGGATGAGAGTGGCAATGAAGTGGTCATTGGAGTTTCTCTCACTGGGATTGTTGTCGCTTCAGAACACAGCCACACTTCTAAGTTTTACAGGTAACAAGTTTTCATCAATTTTTTTCTCTGTTTTTTTCATATGTAAAATCGTAGATTCAAACAGTTTTTATAACATAGCCTGTACCATTTTTGGTACCTTTTGTCAGTATATGACATGCGTTATTTGTTTTAGTTAGTTGCTAACTGCTTTATCAGTCAGTTAAATCTTTTGGGATTAAGTTTTTTTCCATGAAATAATTGTGAAGCAAAATGGTATTTACCAATAATACTTCTGGTAATAATTATCTAACAAATCGGCAATTATTAACCTTGGCTACGAAAAATTCTTGGGGTATGTGAATGATTTGAAATTGGCTATACCTAATGGACGCATAGTCCAATACGTGGACGACACGACTCTCTCTTTTAGTTCCAATAGTGTTAAACAGTGAACAGATAGAAATTCAATGTTTTGTTGAAACAATTTCTTGCATTCAATCCTTTGAGAACAGAAACCTCAAAGTCAACCCCTCGAAGTCATATTGCATGATATTCAAAGGCAGCTCTGCTCGGAATGCATATCGCCCAACTGCAATGACACAGTCATCGAATAGGTTGGGTTTTCAAAATTCCTCGGAATGCTCATCGTTAGTGAGCTTACTTGAAATGAGCAAGTGGATAGTCTTTGTATGAAGGTGTCTTCAGCAATATATTTGCTGAGGAGCCTTTCACAACATTGTCCTACTGAGTTGTTGATGGCTTATAGTGGTTTGATTCAGTGTAATGAATACAAACCCTTTAAGCAAAATGCTTATGGAGATTAGTCAGACTGGAATTTTGCTGCCAAAATGAACTTTGCTGTCTCAGTCAGCTGATTTGGCCGCACGCTCGTGATGGTCTACCTAACGGCCGCTGCAGGAACGATCGAAAATTCAAATATTTCCAGACTGAAATCTTTACACAAAGACATTGCAGTTCTTAAAGGGTTTGTAATCATTGTACAGTGTCACCTCTCATTCGGCATTTTTTTGTGGGGAAATTGCTCCCAGAGAAATTTCAACCCTCTTTTTATTCTTTGAAAAACGACATCCGTATCATAGCTAAACTTATACGTAGAGAGTCACGCTGGGATGCCTTTTGGAATTATAACTAGCACACGCTTGCTGGGCTGTACATCCTAGAGACTGCATTTTTTTGCAAGTCTAAAGGATGCCTAATACAGGGGCAGAGATATACACAATTAATTACAACACTAGATCCAGGGACGTGTTTAGGCCAGTGCAGCACAGGTTAGCCTGTTAGCAAAATTAAGACGCTTCTTAGTGTCAAATGTGTTCTACTTGGTGAATGAGTTCATGGACCATAGGGAATAAATACGCATTGGCTAGAAGTTGGTTTCACTGTTTCACCATTCCAATGCAAAATATATAACACTCTGGCTGTATCTTTTTAGTCATATTATAATTTCATGCTTTATATTGTTCTATTGTGTCCTTTTCTTTTATTTTGTGTGTGTTGCACAAGCTCATTGAATTGTCTAAAGCAATAAATAATAGTATTATTATTGTTGTCATTATGTCTTTTACTTAACTCTCCAATACTGCTCTAATAATTTATTCCTTAATTTCCATTATCAGATGGAAGGACATTACCAATGTGATCAACCACAAGAGACACTTTGGTATGGAGTGTCAGAGTCCTGAAGATACAACGCAGTTCCAGCTAGCGGACGTAGAGTCTGCCAAGTACGTCTGGCGGATGTGTGTGCATCAGGTGAGGTATTGTTTAGAAAGATATTGGAAGCCTATTAACCCTAGGATATTTAACATCAAAATACTGTGTGGAACATATCCAAGCAGATACTTGTTGAGCTGGTACAGAACAATAAACCGTTCTGAAAAATTTAAATTGCCGGCATTAATTAGGAAATTCTTGTTCAAATTCTTCTTGTTTTGATTTATTCTATAAATTCATGATCTATTACGTTACTGACTCAGCCACCGAGTTGCTGGTTTCTTACTTCTGATCAGGGTTCTGTGATTCCGCCTTCATATTAGGACATAGTATGCCACAACCTCAGCTAGGATAACAAATCAAGAGGTGTATTTGTTGCAGCACACATTCTTCATGCAGAACGAACAAGCATCAGAGTCTAACAATGCTGCTCAAACAGGTCTTTTCACTCAAACTTCAACTGAGGTAATCATATTAGACTGTATTATATAATAACTAGTTTGCAATTTCCATTGTAAATAAAACTGTTATTACTATTTCCCCATTATTTGCATTCCGTGAGGGAGCTGTGCAAGCAAACCCTAGTTTAGTTGGTTCAATTATAATTAAGATTTTTAGCACTATCTGCTATTGAAATGGGTGACTATGTAGTAAAAATTAGTTAATATTAGTCAGTAACTAAAACATTATCTCCTTTACATACGTTAACTTTAGCTCAATGTTACAGTGTTAAGTTCAAAGATGAAAGATTGTTGCTAAATTGTTATACATCATAATTATTATCAACATTTATTAAAACTATTAGCTTCATATAAGTATATTCATGTATAAATTACAGTATTTTCCGTGTGGTTGGTTTCAGGACGCACAGCTGGGCAGCAGCAGGGAGGAGCTGGATGGGAGGGACGTGGGAGGAGGGGTGGGGTGGGAAAGGGAGGTACAGAGAGCTCAGTCCACCTCCTGTCTGGACCTAGCTGCATCACAGGATATAGACAAGCTCAGGTGAGGTTAAACACACTAACTTATGGATCTATAAAGTCAAGTGGCTCAGCTAGCTTACTTGGGAAAATTGTCTACGTTATTTAGATACACAATGAAAATCTACCAAACCTTACACCGATATTTTGTCCTAATGTAGGACTTCACAGGGTAGCTATAAGAGAAACTTTAGATATCTAAGACCGTATTTTAAGCACGCAAAGTAAGCCTCATGTGAGGGATGTGGTTGTCTTGTTGCAGAGCAATGCTGCCCTCTTACTGTCCAGCCCAATGTAGGACTTCAGAGGGTAGTTATAAGAGAAACTTTGGATATCTAAGACCGTATTTGAAGTACGCAAAGTAAGCCTCATGTGAGGGATGTGGTTGTCTTGTTGCAGAGCAATGCTGCCCTCTTACTGTCCAGCCCAATGTAGGGCTTCAGAGGGTAGTTGTAAGAGAAACTGTGGATATCTAAGACCGTATTTGAAGTACGCAAAGTAAGCCTCATGTGAGGGATGTGGTTGTCTTGTTGCAGAGCAATGCTGCCCTCTTACTGTCCAGCCCAATGTAGGGCTTCAGAGGGTAGTTATAAGAGAAACTTTGGATATCTAAGACTGTATTTGAAGTACGCAAAGTAAGCCTCATGTGAGGGATGTGGTTATCTTGTTGCAGAGCAATGCTGCCCTCTTACTGTCCAGCCCAATGTAGGACTTCAGAGGGTAGTTGTAAGAGAAACTGTGGATATCTAAGACCGTATTTGAAGTACGCAAAGTAAGCCTCATGTGAGGGATGTGGTTGTCTTGTTGCAGAGCAATGCTGCCCTCTTACTGTCCAGCCCAATGTAGGGCTTCAGAGGGTAGTTATAAGAGAGACTTTGGATATCTAAGACTGTATTTGAAGTACGCAAAGTAAGCCTCATGTGAGGGATGTGGTTATCTTGTTGCAGAGCAATGCTGCCCTCTTACTGTCCAGCCCAATGTAGGGCTTCAGAGGGTAGTTATAAGAGAAACTTTGGATATCTAAGACTGTATTTGAAGTACGCAAAGTAAGCCTCATGTGAGGGATGTGGTTGTCTTGTTGCAGAGCAATGCTGCCCTCTTACTGTCCAGCCCAATGTAGGACTTCAGAGGGTAGTTGTAAGAGAAACTGTGGATATCTAAGACCGTATTTGAAGTACGTAAAGTAAGCCTCATGTGAGGGATATGGTTATCTTGTTGCAGAGCAATGCTACCCTCTTACTGTCCAGCCCAATGTAGGGCTTCAGAGGGTAGTTGTAAGAGAAACTGTGGATATCTAAGACCGTATTTGAAGTACGTAAAGTAAGCCTCATGTGGGGGATATGGTTATCTTGTTGCAGAGCAATGCTACCCTCTTACTGTCCAGCCCAATGTAGGGCTTCAGAGGGTAGTTGTAAGAGAAACTGTGGATATCTAAGACCGTATTTAAAGTACGCAAAGTAAGCCTCATGAGAGGGATGTGGTTATCTTGTTGCAGAGCAATGCTGCCCTCTTACTGTCCAGCCCAATGTAGGACTTCAGAGGGTAGTTATAAGAGAGACTTTGGATATCTAAGACCGTATTTAAAGTACGCAAAGTAAGCCTCATGTGAGGGATGTGGTTGTCTTGTTGCAGAGCAATGCTGCCCTCTTACTGTCCAGCCCAATGTAGGACTTCAGAGGGTAGTTATAAGAGAGACTTTGGATATCTAAGACCGTATTTGAAGTACGCAAAGTAAGCCTCATGTGAGGGATGTGGTTGTCTTGTTGCAGAGCAATGCTGCCCTCTTACTGTCCAGCCCAATGTAGGACTTCAGAGGGTAGTTATAAGAGAGACTTTGGATATTTAAGACCGTATTTGAAGTACGCAAAGTAAGCCTCATGTGAGGGATGTGGTTGTCTTGTTGCAGAGCAATGCTGCCCTCTTACTGTCCAGCCCAATGTAGGACTTCAGAGGGTAGTTATAAGAGAGACTTTGGATATCTAAGACCGTATTTGAAGTACGCAAAGTAAGCCTCATGTGATGGATGTGGTTGTCTTGTTGCAGAGCAATGCTGCCCTCTTACTGTCCAGCCCAATGTAGGACTTCAGAGGGTAGTTATAAGAGAGACTTTGGATATCTAAGACCGTATTTGAAGTACGCAAAGTAAGCCTCATGTGAGGGATGTGGTTATCTTGTTGCAGAGCAATGCTGCCCTCTTACTGTCCAGCCCAATGTAGGACTTCAGAGGGTAGTTATAAGAGAGACTTTGGATATCTAAGACCATATTTGAAGTACGCAAAGTAAGCCTCATGTGAGGGATGTGGTTATCTTGTTGCAGAGCAATGCTGCCCTCTTACTGTCCAGCCCAATGTAGGACTTCAGTGGGTAGTTATAAGAGAGACTTTGGATATCTAAGACCGTATTTGAAGTACGCAAAGTAAGCCTCATGTGATGGATGTGGTTGTCTTGTTGCAGAGCAATGCTGCCCTCTTACTGTCCAGCCCAATGTAGGGCTTCAGAGGGTAGGTGTAAGAGAAACTGTGGATATCTAAGACCGTATTTGAAGTACGCAAAGTAAGCCTCATGTGATGGATGTGGTTGTCTTGTTGCAGAGCAATGCTGCCCTCTTACTGTCCAGCCCAATGTAGGACTTCAGAGGGTAGTTATAAGAGAAACTTTGGATATCTAAGACCGTATTTGAAGTACGCAAAGTAAGCCTCATGTGAGGGATGTGGTTGTCTTGTTGCAGAGCAATGCTGCCCTCTTACCGTCCAGCCCCTGACTACGAGACAGCTGTGCAGCAGAAGTACAGAGGTCAGGGAGCTTTACTGTACAGCAGTCAGCCTGAGATACATCAGGGCCATCTACACGAGGTACACATAGTGTGGTTAACAACCACTTGCCAATAGATATGAAATATTCAATTGATTAAACACCTTTGGTTTTTAGAAAATTTTTAATTAGTCATAGTTGATCAAAATTGTTACCTTTGTGAGTCCAAGAGACTATTCCTTGATTGATTCCACTATATCTTTTTTATCATGGATCTTCTTCATGAAAACAAAAATTCAATTGTTACCTATATAGTTTTTGAAGAATTTGGAGCACATCGCCAATAACTTTTGCAAACCACTTTTGTTCAAAATTTGCTGTTTGAGATGCAAATCAGGCTGTCATCCTCCACTTAAGCCATCCATCATATCTTTATAGGATCTCTCTTGCCAAGCCCTGTCAAAGATTGGCCATGTCCTCACTAGTTGCACACAACAACTGACCAAGATAGTTTTTGAACCTTTTATCCAAATCCCTTCACACTTTGTTTTGCCCCAAAGCCGGGGAGACAACATGTTATTACCAAACGGTTCTCAAAACTGTCAAAACCCAATTGAACCAGTTCTAAACTTGACTTCCGGACTGCAATATCTTTCACCCGTTTTTGTTGAGTAATGCTCACCTAGATAGATGTAAGGGAAATTTTGGTTATGTTAGTTGTGTTGTGATGAGCGATAAATCGGCCTTTGAGGCTCACCAGTTTCAAGACAGTATTGGACAGCAACTAAGTTCAATAAGATATATTTTAAGTTCACTCATTGTGTAATAGCATGTGTTGTAACCGTAAGATACCATGTTTCTGACAGGGTGTCCGGTCGTATGGCAATGCCTACAAACACTACCCAGATGTTGCAAGGGTAGATAGAGTCTACATCGACCCAGCGCATTCTGAAGATGCAGTATCTGGTCTACATACGTACGGGTATGTTGTTATTTTTTATTTTTAATGTATAAATAATTTATAAATAAAAAACTTTTTTAAAACAAAACTTTTTAAACACACTAAAAAGTAGAAAATAGTTTATAAATATGTTGAGAGTATAAATACTTGTAAGATTTAAAACGAAAAACGTGGGGTGCATGCAATAGATAATTTACAATTACCTTCACCTATTAAACTAATGTATTATTATCAATTAATTGCATGCACCCATCGTTTTTCGTTTTAATTCTTACAAGTATTTATACTCTCAACATATTTACAAATTATTTTCAACTTTTTAGTGCGTTTAAAAACGTTTTGTTTTAAAAAAGTTTTTTATTTAATAAATTATTTTCTACTTTTTAGTCTTTAATGTATAAATATGTTAAATATATTTTACTAGCTGTGTGCCCGTTCTACGCACGGGGATCTTATAGTATTCAGTTGAAACCTTCTTATATTAAGAACAGCAGTTGGTTTGCATATTTTCAGATATGTTGGCAAAACTATTATATATAAACCTTCGCAAGTACAGTATCTGACAGTTTCAAGCCAAAACAAACCCAATTATATGTCACCCGGATCGTGTTGGTCAATATGTTAAATCCAATGATTAAACTAAAATATGAATTTTATAGATCTATGAGGCATATCCCTAAGGTAGGCCTATAATTGAAAGTTACTTTCCACAATGGTTAAAAGTATTTAAAGTACTACCTGAACCTCGCCATTTAACACTTTATTTCGGATATCTGGAGCAGAACCTGTACCTCTTAACCTCTGCTCTTCGAACTGTCAAATTTAAGTATTTACAGCTGACTTAAATTAATTGATATGTTTACATTCTTTCAAAATGTAAACATGGAAAATGTGGAAGCCCATGGGGCGTATCCCGTGGGAAATATGAAAATTAAATGATATAATATTGCATTGTCATCCATTTGTGAGCTATGTTTCAAATTTCAAGTCTCTAGCTCATCGGGAACTTCGTTTAGGATTGATATCAAAATTTGTAGGGAAGCGACTAGCGAGCTAATAAAAACAAGCCCATGGGGCGTAGCTCAAGGGAAATATGAAAATTAAATGATATAATATTGCATTGTCATCCATTTGTGAGCTATGTTTCAAGTTTCAAGTCTCTAGATCATCGGGAAGTATCAAAATTTGCAAGAAAGCGGGTTTATAAAAACAAGCCCATGGGGCGTAGCCCAAGGGAAATATGAAAATTAAATTATATAATATTGCATTGTCATCCATTTGTGAGCTATGTTTCAAGTTTCAAGTCTCTGGCTCATCGGGAACTTAGTATAAAATCGATTGCAAAATTTGTACCGGACAAGAAAGCGAGCTAATAAAAACGCTTTAATAACTGAAAGTGATTAAAATCTTACAGGGCAGTCGTCAACTCTAAAAACAAAAAAAATTTCAATGAGAATGATTGTGATTAGAATGCCTAGCAGTCCTTGATCATTGAAATATAGGCTAAGTAAATGTTAATGGCTAAAGAACCAGCTTATGTCAGTCAAGAAACAAAGCATCACAGATCATCTTATCCATTCTTCACTTAGACTAGCTATAGACCAGACTTTTTTACCTCAACAGGTCTAAAGCTCTAGTTTTTTCGGAAAGTGTTTTATCGGAAAAATGAAAGCTCGGCTCAGCCTGAGATTGGTTTTTTATATTAATTGTACTAACAGTATTGACTTAAACACAATATTATACATGATCTCCCCCCACCCCCCCATATGGTCGCAAAATCATGAACAAAAAATCTAAACATCTTCCGCTGCCTGGGGCGAAATCATGAACATTTTCGAAGCCAAAGCAAAATCTTGAACATCTTCCAATGGCTTGGAGAAAATCTAAAGCAAAATCTAGAGAAAAACGTGAATGCCTTCCGCAGTATTGACAGAATTGTGAACATCCTCAACAGTCTTGGGAACATCATATCCGACTGTCTCTCACGACCAAGGCAAAACCATGAACATCTCATAGTGGTTGCTATCAGCTCGGATATTGGGTAGCATATCGGACATGTTTGCTTAACATCGGAAAAATGATAGCTCGGCTCAGCCCGACCGGAGTTTCACAGTGAAAATATTTCTGTCCTGAGCCAAACCCTCCGCCAACTGTTGGGTCAATAGTTAACACAGTTGCTTTTTGAGACAGTTATTGGTGCATATTTTAAGGGTAAATGTGGGACCTCAACATTTGAGGTCCCAATATTTGAAAATATTGAGGTCCCACAGACCCTTATTCTTTACTCATTTACACTTAAAATATGCACCAAAGTGGCATCATTGTCTCAAAAAACAATGACAGGAATTATTTATTTATTTTAGTTTTACCTTAAGGCTCACAATAGTCGAATTATTTACGTGTCTACAGGAGAGCGCAGTTGACAGACCAAGGGCTACAGTTGGTACACCTGTACAAGCCACCCCCGCCTTACCCCATCAACAGACACAGCAGTAACAGCACACCTGACCTGGCCAGTCAGAACCTGGGCCAGCCCATGCACGCCTTTATCAGTACACAGGTAAAATATGTAGGCTAGTTCAGTGATTTGTATATAAATGATTTAACATCAATTATACATCAACAGAAAACCCTATATTGATGTAGATCAAAACCATGCAATACTTGATATAAGTATTTCTTCCCTCTCTGTAATGTATTGTATTGTATCACCCAGGCATGAATAAAATCTTTTTGATACAATCTTATTTACAATATGCAATAGTTAAAAATACACTATTTTCTTGTGTGATGAAAATTGTTTTCTGACACAATGATTCATTCCTGAAGTTGTTTTCAATGTGTTAACAATGCCATATATTTGGTGTACATTTTAATTTAATTAGGTAAATTTAATTGGCATTTGGTTTGAAATGCCATAAATGTGTGGTTTTTTGTCAACAGCAAGTGAGTGGTTCCAGCCCAGACTTGGTGTGTTCCCGAGTGGTTGGTCAACATCCTCCCCCTCACCCCCACCACTACGAGGCTCATCGCACCTACCCCAACCTGGCCGCAATACTGACCAATGACCAACAGCAGGTTAGCTCTGAGCTCTAACATCCAGCAGTAATATACCCAAATCACCAAGGAATGCACTAAACAATTATTTAATACATCTCCGATTATCCAAACTCCAATTGTCCGAATCGCTGACTATCCAAATCTCTTACAGTTTTAAAAAACTTAAAAGAACAGTAATAAGAATGGTTGTTAAAGAAGGCAGAAGCTGTGATTGCGGCAAAATGTAAAAATTCTCTTGTGGTTGTGTACTCCTGCTCACATAATTTTCTCATGCGGTCATGGAAACTATGTAACCTTTTTCCATGACTGCGGCATAATCTTGAATATATTTCTTGGTCTTGTATACATCATCTTTGTTTCCCGCGGTCACGGAAAATCATAATCGTCATCTGCGGTCCCAGCGAAAACATTAATTTTTCAATCGCTAAATCTTTGCAGACGCTTTCTGCAATTGCAACAGTAAATGCTCGTTTTGACTCAAAAACTTCTGTATTTTCTGTAAAATATCCAAATTTAAATTAAAACCCAATCATCCAAATGTTTTTATTCCCTATATGGGAAATTCTTAAAAAGAAAACCTGTTCTGCCCCCTATTAAAGAAAAATAATTCTGTATATTTGATCATTGTCTTTAATTTTATACAAGAATACAGGATTCTCTTCCCTTTACAATTTAAAGCAAATCTTTACAGTGGTATTTAAATTTTAATATGACTTGTGTGCAATTTTAAGCCAAACATCAATTTAAAAAAACTAATACAGTTCATGGGAGATACCTTGCACTTTCTATGGACAAAGTTCATCAGGTTGGTCAGAATACTAATGTTTTATTGTCTTGGTATTTTTTGCAGCACATAGAAGAGTTGCACAACGTCTATGATGATCGCAACATCATGTACTACATGAGCAGAGGTGGTGCGTTGATGACCCAGCAACAGCAAGTGGCACAACAGCATGTGATGGCCTTCAACAACAACCAGCAATACTCCACGTCAACATCGCAAGGTCAGAATGTAGCTCAGGTGTCCAGGTCGGGGATAGAGTAACGAACGTGTTAAACTCATAACTGTATATGAAACTAATTAAAATTTATTTTAGGAACACAAAATGTTAATGAAAACAATCATCTCATCAATACAATAAATAAATTAGTTAAAACAACATTAACAATGACTTGATGATATAAAACTAGTTGTTTGAGATTCTATTTTTTGTCAAACCTCAACAGTCTACAAATTTAATTGTGTTAATTGTTGATCATTTCTATTGCAAAGTGATAAATAACTTAACACACAAGTTTCCATGGGTAAAAAAAAAACTAATATTTTTTTACTAGTAGTAAAATTTGTTTACTAAAATAATTTAAGCGTTGTAAAGTAAAATTAATTACACAATGAAAATTCTCTTATCCCTAAGTGAACAATGAAATAGCATGTATAATTAATGATATACCAGTACAGTCAGATTTACTCTGCTGTTTGTAAACAATCCCCACCTTACGGCACCTGGCTCTGCCCTTCCTGTGTAATTATTTGGCTCAATTGTAATTCAATCTCTTTTGTAATGCTCCATGTCACTCCCATGCAGTTAGCTGTGATCAAATGTCAAATATAGGTTTGTTTGCGTTTAGTGATGGATACCTTGAAGTCATGAAGCTGATTTTGGAACTGTGTAAGTTAGGTTTTTCGACAAAATTATATTTTTTTGTGGAATTTATCTTAGTTTCAATACTTTAAAACAAACTTAGCGTATTTGAATTTAATGTATTTTTAGTTTCAAAAACTACATAATATTAGAAATTAATATTATCATAGAATAACCAACACAAGTCTTCTCATCCCATTGTAAATTTTAAAGCTCGTTTTCATGTATATTTTATTTACGGTGAGTGGTGACACTGGGCGCTAGTGTTGACAATATTTTGTTTCTTTTATTTTAGGATTAATTTCTTGATTAATGCTTTTCTGTTTGCTTATATAACTAGGGGACGAGTTATTGTTTATGATTAGATTGTACTATTTTGGCTAAATTAGGTTTTAAATTACTGAAAAAAATCAGAATCAAATTGTAAACAAAACACAATCTTTGCAGTACACAGTACAGAACTAACAATAAAACTGTCTTCAGCTGTTCCATAAGGAAGAGAAATCTACGAAGGGAGTATGTTTTTACCCATGATATTATCTTGTTTGCTTAAGTTAGTGAGGGATATGTATTCAAACAATCCAAGGATTTTTATGCAGAAAGTGTTGAAAATATGCAATTTTTAATGTGCAGTAGGGTCTTATCTGATGTAGGATTTGTAAACATTGTGTACGTCTTTTATTGCTTAAACCCCCCATAACTTTTAATATTACCTAACCCTGGCTAACTGCACAGGTGTCGGGACAGAGCCTATCTATGAGAACGTACCTCTGCCCTGGCAGCAGGAGGGTGGGGAGCCCCGCAGTCGCACGTCTAGTATCCAGTCAGCCCCGGAGATGACGAGGGCTGTCTCCGCCTCAGTCCCAACCACTGCCCCGCCTACCACCGCCACCCTGCCACCTAAAGCACCCGTCAATGACAGTATAGGTTAGTGTTGTAGGCTTACTGTGTCTCTTAATAGTCGTAGAGTTGATTAATATCTGTAGTAGGTTTAGGTGTGTTACTATCGTTGCAATTGTTTTGTAGCCTTAACTATGCCTGTTGGAATAAAATATTTTTCTTTTCTTTTTACTTTTTAACTATTCTGGTCTGAGATGAGTTGAGTAGTAAATGCAGCATAACCATCTAAGTGGCCTTCTTTACCCATGGAATTTTAAATGAAATGAAATGAACATTTTTTTATTTTACCAGACAAAGTTAGGGCCACATGGTCCTCTCTTACACTTAACCTGACAAACGTTAATATAAAGAAATAAAAATACCATGAGATATCTCAATCTAAAATAAATTTACATATTTAACAAATCAAGAACAGATGAAACAAAAATGCAATTTAACAAAATAATAATAAATAGAAATAACAACAAAAAAAAAACACTTACATGCACACGCACCAGCAATCGCGCAGACACAGAAGCTCTAGAACACGCTAGCCGAGACCATTTGCTCAAATTAGAGATTTTTTAGTACCGCCACAAACTGGGAACGTTTTTCAAGGGATTTTATGTGCAGGGGTAGGCCATTCCAAAGACGGCAAGCGGTAACAAGAAAAGCCCTGTCATAAGCGGTGGTCACATGATGAGGTATACGCAATGTGATCGAAGAAGACCGAGAAATTCGTGAACTACCCTGAGACACAAATTTAAAATCAGATGTAAAATATTTAAAAAAAAAAAAAAAAAAACCAATGCCAAAATTTTGAGATGTTTGCTTCAAGGTAGTATAGCGTGATATGCTCTTCACGCCGCAGACAATGTAGACAAATCTCAAACAGACTGCTGGATCATACCCACCTGAATCACAGTCATGTCATTGATCAATGAGTTGCAGTAACTGAAGTGGGGCAGTACAAGTGATTTGTTCAAATGAAGTTTAGTGTCTTGTGGCAAAAAGTTCTGCAATCTTTTCAGTGAATGTATGGAGGAAAAAACCTTTTTTCGTGTGTCCGTAACTGTTGTGTCCCAAGTAAGTGAAGAGTTGAAAGATATGCCAAGATTATTTACTTTGCCGTAGTAGGGGAGTGCTTAGCCTTTCAACTGTGAATGGGTTTATGGAGTCTAAGTCAATTGAACTGCGAAGTCAAAGGTGGCAGATTACAATACATTTTTGTCTTTTCGTGATCCCGTCTTAAGACTTTGATTAACTACTGAGAGAGTGTGGTGAGCTCTTTTAAATTCATTATTCAATTCCATAACAAAATGATTAGAGATAAATAAAGATTACCTTAATAATATTTTTGCTTTTGCTGAACAAATAACCAAAATCTGTTGAAAGGGGCTTTAGGTACTTTAAGAAGATCCTTGAACTTTTCTTTTATTCCTCGTGTATGCCTCATTACAGAAATACTGAATAGTTTTGATTTTGTTGTAACTGCTTACCGTCCCTAAGAGAATGGATCTTTTTCCATAAATATGCAGTGTGCAGCAGCACTCTAAAACATATTATTTTGAATGTATAACATTAGATTGTCTGTTCAAGGATTATTTTTTCTCTTTTGTGATTACTTGAAAGGGTGCAAGAAATGAATATGTCTCTCTGAACCTGTACCTGGTGAAATGAGTTTGTATACTGCCATGATCGGACTATGGAAACCCCTATACTGGATGAAAATAGTTTTTCTTCATTCTTGACCCCCAAAACAAAACGTGGTCGTGACGCAATGTTTCAAATACTCATTGGGGGAGGAGAGTAGACAAAACATGAAACTAATAATGATTTTGTGTTTCTCTGTCACCCAGATTCGTCAGGATCGTTGCGCAGCAGTGATAGCTCCAAGCAAGGCAAGCAACGACCCAAGTGGGGCGGACTGCTGGGGCGGGGCAAGTCAAAACATGCCGGCTCCACCAGCAGTCATGGCGACCTGGGTCCAAGACTACCTCTACCCCCAACCATCTCCAAGGAAACAATGGTAACTGTTTACATTGTTTAAGGAGCATGTTTAACACGTTCGCTACTGAGCGTCGCGTATATGTGACGCCGCGGTCATTGCCACACACCGAGGTATACATTTGAATCTTACACATAGACCGACTGTCACTTGGATAACATTACACACAGACCACTGGCGAAAACCTGTAAAACAGTGATCATTTACATTGTAATACGCTACAATCGTGTTTGTGAATAATTTATTCTTGTTTTTTTTTATTTTTTATAACCTTTTGTAATGTCGCATATAAGCGACGCCCGGTCTACAGCGAAGACAATAGTGAAAATTAACATAGTTTTCTTGAAATAGACCAAACGTCGCATATATGCGACAGTTCATTTTTTAGTGTTTTTAGGTGAAAGTAAGTAAAAAAAAAACAGATTATTCAAGAACAGTTTATAACTGAACTAATATAAAAGCTACATAGGATAATGCAGCATACACATACTGCATACATACATACAGTGATGCAGAAAAGTAAAGACCAGTTTTTCCAACTATCATATGATGTCAAAAATCACTATATCCACAGACCAAGCGACGCAGTTGTGCGTCAGACATCTCTGAAGACGACTGCAGAGAGTTCAGTGCCTTCAAATAGACCGTTACAAAGATATAAGCATTATAACATTAGAACCCCGACATAAATGCAACGGCAGTCCATGGGTGGAAACCGTTAGCATATGTGCGTCGCTGGTCCATGTGAATGAAAAATGTTGTACTATTGCAGTAGCGAACGTGTTAAGTAACTAATTTGAAGTAATTATAATTTGAAAACATTTTTTTTTTGAATTTTTGTAGAAAAAGTACAAAGAAAAAAAATTTAAAAGACTTTTATAAAACTCATTATTTAAATGCAATGTTGCAAAATTAAATTGTTGAGGCTTCTCTTATTTCTACCCAGTAATATGCATTGAACTTCTTTATAGTGTTAGCTAAATCTTGATTCTAGGTGAAAGTGAAATGTATAAATCTAATAAAACTACAATGTCCTTAAAAATTGTTTGTTGTGTTTGAAGCCATTACCAATCCTTTTTGGTATTTTTTTTACATTTGTATGGAATATCAAACATGTGGTTTTGCAGTGCCAATTGCTGGAGAGGAAATTAGTAGACAATCAGTTATTCTTTGAGTTTGAGAAAATTCCCAAACAAAAAGTGAACCCAGACTTCAGCACTGCTCTTCACCCGGACAACGCAAGTCGTAACAGGTTGGTTATGTTTTGATTAAATTGTACGATTCTTCTTCTTATGTGTCTTCATGTGCTTAAAGCAATTCTTTCCCACCCTGTGTTAGTCATCAACAGTTCCCTATCACTGAAAAATAATCATCACATTTTTATGTTCAACAACAATAAGAAGATATTCAAAAGTGTGGCCATTCTATTTTTATGTTCTACATTAATAAGCTTATTAGGCCTATCTAATTAACAAATTAAAAGGTTGAAATTCCTCATTGTCACTTTGTGGTCCAAGTTTATCCTACAGAAGTATGCACATTTCGTTGCGAATGCCATCACTAGATCCACTGTATAAGAACTAATCTTGCGTGAAGAGGTCTCGAAGGTTCACAAACGAAACACAAAAGCATTCAAAACATTAGTTGGCTATTATCTACATTTTGTCATTTAACATGGCATTTGTTTGGGCTATTGTCTAATTTTTTATGGTTTCAAAAAGAAGACATCAGGTATTTTAACCTTTTTTATTTAACTGTTAATTAATTGGTCTGAAAACACCACAACAAGTAATTAAGTTATCTAATTAAGATTTTTGGATGGTCCAATTCTTTTTGGATTTTGAATGACCCAAGTTCCACAGTAATTCATTTTAAAATCCTGTCCATTAGGCTACGGCCACACGGGCGTTTTTTTCACGCACAAACGCAGCGTGAAAACACGCGAAAAATTTGACTAGTATTGAAACAAATAGGCGCCTGCTACTGCGGGAAAACACACTGCGTGTGGCATACCTCATTACATTTAATGCTGCTCATATTTCTTGCGTTTTTTCACGCTGCGTTCTTGCGTGAAAAAACGCCCGTGTGGCCGTAGCCTTATAAAGAATGTGTATATTACATTAGTCTTGATGGTGGATACAAGTATTAAATTTGAATTGAATATTTAAGTTGATAAATGAGTTGAATAAATCTCATGGCCTCATTGTTTGCCATGTAAATGTAATTTTTTGCACATATCCTAATTTTTGTAATTGTTCCTGAACAGGTTTAAGGATGTTTTACCTTATGAAGAGAACAGAGTTCGGCTTTCCCCATCCAAGGAGAACAAGACTGGTTATATCAATGCTTCACATATCACGGTAAACTCATAATTTCATTGTTTTATAGCATCTCTTGGTTACGCATTAATTACCTTTATTTATAATCGTTTTGTAGCTTTTTATTTGATCATATAATTGACAGTGAGCCTAGATCCTAAATTTATGTAGAAATATCCGCTTTGTAGCAAACGTGCATGATAAAAGGATTTCCTTTAGCTTTATTAAATTTTAATAAATAGTATATAAAAAAAATTTTTTCCCGATTATCACACAATAAAAAAAGTGTAATGAATACCCGGCTTAGATTGCTAGCACAAGGAACACACAAAATGTGTAAAGTAAGTTTGCCAAAACAAGCAATGATTAATTAGTACATTAGCTTGAGAGAATTTTACTGAATTTAGAACTCTAAATATCTTAGTGGAAATGAAAATATATTATTTGAGATAAAAATATGGAGTAAAATCAAGTAAGATATATATTTTTTTTTTAACAAACCACCCTTAGACTCCTATTGAAACCTATTTATCCTAGATTGAACTGACTGTTCTCGTGGGAAAGATTTGAGACCAGTGATCACGTGTCTAAATACAATGATCTTCTAAACTTAAGTCAAATACTGTATTGGCTTATACATTATGCATTTAAACGGTCCGTTTTAACGAGTTTTTGGGGACGTCTTTTTAACCAAAAAACCCGTTGTTCGGACTGGCCTCGGTCCCGAGGTGTCCGGATAAGATGGAGTCTACTGTATGTAATTTGCAAACGTCTAGATTAAGCAATGTCTGTTAATGTAATCCCGTTATGGAGGTTTATTTAATTATGTTAACTTAAGACTTAAACTCTAGTGTTTGAGAGCAGAGCAACTTACAATCTTAGTGTCTGCATGTAAGCTTTGTAATGCGTGGTTCTCTGTTACAGCGGCCATCTTTGTCCAGAGCTCTACGCTAGAGGGTTGTGCATGATACCTCTAATGCATGATTGTGATTCTGCATGCCTCCTATAAATATTAGTAGATAAGTGCTTAGCTTCATGTCCTTTTGTTAGATGTTACCTATTTTGTTAGTATTGTTAGTTAGTCTTATTTATTAAAAGTGAGAATTTGAGTATTAGTAGTAGTTTAACGTAAAGATATAAAAGTCAGAGTTATAAAAAATATGACAGATTAAATATTCTTATCAGTAAGTTTACCTTTTACCAACAATTTCAGTTACCTGTCAGTTTTAGTCTTTTTATTTGTAAAACATATTTTGTTTATAGTAAACAAATTTGCATACTTACAAAAAAAAATTGTATACTGTAATTTTATTTGAAACTACAAGACAAATAAATCTAAATTTACAAATATTACGAAACATTTTGACTTTTAGTCACCTTTTTTCTATTTAATTAGGGGACTATATAGCAGTGATTGGTGATTTTTAGTTATGTATACAAACTGAAATCATAAACACACTTTTTTACACATTTAGTCGAGACCTTTTCCTAACACGATACATTTTAACACTGCATTGCCATTCTAACCTAAAAAACAGAACACCAAAATCAATAAAACATACAAAGACACAATGTTTACATAAGCTGGTATATTTTAAACAGCTTATAAAAACACTGTAGAAGTACTTCCAGTAGAAAATGACTGGACCTTTGACGGCCTGTGGAGCAGAGCAGGGGTAATTTTTGACACTTCTGATATTTTTCCCATCGTCCTTGGACCTTAAGCTCTAAAATGAATCCTCAACAACCATGCGACCTTTTCCCTAGCTCGAGATATTTCGTGGTGGACTGATTCGCTTATGGAATTAAATAGATGGATAGAAGATTTTAGGTGGATGGATTTTGAAATAGTAAAATGAAATATACACATAATGATAGGTATGAGTTTTTGATCAAAATTAACATACGCTGTAGATAAAAAATTTTTCTGGGGTGGAAAAATGTTAAAAAGAAGTTTAAAGCGTGTTCTAAGACAAAGCTGTATCAAGACAACCACATCTCTGTTATTGTGAGGCATCATTGGGGATATCTTCTATAAATGTTTTTTCAAGAGTTTTCTCTTGGGCTGGGTGGTTGATTTATAGTATTTTATAAGAAGAAAATGATACAGAAATGTAAGTAAATAGGAATTGTTAAGAGAAGAGGATGTTTTTCCTTGTAAAGAAGGATTAGTTTAAAATCAAATTTCAGGAATAACAAAACACAATATCAAACGTCTGCTAGTTTTAGCTATGAAATCAGATTTGTTAATGGCTCACATGTTTCATTGGGACAAAAATAGGATTGCTTCATAAAACCTAAATGAAATCTCAATGTGACGTTTAAAAAAAACAAGAACTTGCATTAGGTGTACCGTACACTTAAAATATTATTAGATCCAATTATATAATATATACAGTTAGTGTCCTGCTATTACAAACCCCGTTGTTAAAAAAATCCGTCCATTCCAAACTAAAATTTTGAATTAATTATTATTTTTGAGGATGTCTGAACGAAGATTGCATGAAATCGAGAACATCTTCTGCGGTTATGGTGAAACTGTGAATATCTTCTGCGGTCATAAAAACATCATTCTGCGGTCACAGAGAGATCGAAAACATCTTTTGCTGTCACGGTAAAATCACAGAAAACCGCTTATTCCACATTCTCGCTGATCCGAGTAGAGTTCGGTTCCAGTTGGTTGAGAAAAAGGGCATTTAAGTACAAAATTATAGATTACTGACATTACTGCTAAATATGATGATTGAATTTGTGTACTTGTTGGCAGGCTACAGTAGGGTCTCACCAACGGTTCTATATAGCTGCCCAGAGTCCACTGCCGTCCACCCTAGCATGCTTCTGGCAGATGGTGTGGGAGGCAGATGTCTACCTGGTGGTAGCTCTGCTGGATGACCCTTCTAGTCAAGTCCCTTACTGGCCCCCATCTACTGAACACCATCTGGAGTTTGGAGAGGTAATAGTCTAAATCTGTAAATCTGTAATAGTCTTTTAAATGGATTTCAAATCTGGTGTATTGTTGAAGTCTTTTACCCTTTATGATTAGGAATACTTTTAAGTTGCCTTAATAGCTAGCAGTACAGGTTTTGCACTCCAGTTTGTTTAAATTTTACATTGGTTGTTCCTGGCGCTTGGACAAACAACATGGAACACTCAAAAGTTCAGTTTAGCAGCACTTTCCAAAAAGCACATTTTAAAACTTTTTTCATGTTAGTGGTGAAACCTTGTAAACAACCGAATCAATTCCAAGCTGCGGGATGAACTAAAACGGCAATCATTGGTACTTGCCATCCAAAATGATTCTGAACTGGTCAATTCAAAATTATTACTGTCACAACTACCAATCTAAGCACAAAGCATTCAAAAATCAAACTAGGTGATTTCAATAAGAGTAGTTAAAAACGTCGATGACGTGGTGGCGCTGTTACAGCTGGAGGTGTACAGACAACTATCCCAGGAGACTGGCCACTGTGTGACCAGCAAGCTGAGACTTTACCACTCTCCATCACACAGGTCACGAGGCATCTGGCTACTGCAGTACTCCGAGTGGGGCGATCACGGCTGTCCAACAGCTGTGTCGCACTTTTTAGGTAAGTTATGTTTCATTGTCTTGATGTATCGTTTGATTACCGTTTATGAAAGTGTGGTACTTATATGATTTGAGATTAGTTGCTATGCCAATTTTAATTGTCGTATTTGATCAGGTTTCCTAGAGGAGTTGAGCTCGGTGAGGCAGCACATAGTGACAGAGATCCCTGCTGGCCACAATCACAACCCTCCTGTGTTGGTCCACTGCTCTACTGGTATTGGTCCCTCGGCTGTCACTGTGCTTAGTGATCTGCTGCTGTATTCACTCGACCACAACCAGGTCTGTATGTGGTCTCGTGGTAACAATAACAATGTAATTGCCATTTAAATTTATGGTAATTATTTAATGAATTGATATAAAACTAGGTGAAACCCGTCAAAATAGACGGTTACTTTCACGGCTTACGCCAATTCATCTAACTGTGATAAATTGAGTGAAATTATACATATTTTGAGCATTTAGCATTGTTTAGAGAGTAATAAGTGTAAAAACAATAATGATATTAATTGCGTTAGTTACCAAATGGTTGATCATTCAATGAATAAAATATTTCCCATACCGTACGTCATCGGAGTTATTATTAGTATGTTAAATGGTATCTCTTCTTTTGGAAAAACCTTTAGATGGGTAGTATTAAAATTGTATTGTTTGATCTTTTATAGTTAAAAACTTCCGCGATTTCATCAGTGTGATAAATATTAATCTATGATTTTATTTGAGAAAAAATATCTGTTTGTTGAGAAGACACGTTCTAACTTCAACCATCCGTTCTAACGATCGGTGGAGGTCCATCCGTTACAGTGCAAGTTTGATTTTTCCTTCGTCACGTCGCGTCAGTTCATATCGTACTTCTGTGCCAATGAATAACCCTCTAGCATAGTATTGAGAAATTGGTTGTGGGGTTACTGTTAAAGCTAATAAGACACTTCTGCACTTGTATTATTTTGTATTGTATTACACATTCAAAGATTTTCCCAATGATTGAAAACATGTATGACAATAATCTCATGAACCTATGATGATCTGTCAAGAATAATATAATAAAATATAGCCAAAAGTGGTGAAAAAGGCAGACACCAACCCGTACAATAGATATAAGATAGTTCAATAAGAAATAATTGTAAGAGCTACTGTGATAAAAGGATTTTCCACTGGTTTTGTAATGGAACGTTATATTGCAAAACACGACATGATACAGAAGAAAATCAATTTTAAAATCAGAAAATAACATTGCAAATACTTCTTTTGGACAGTTCAGTAACTCCCAATAAATGTGCGTTGTTCAAAATACAATTCAAAAATTAACAGCTGTTTCATTAAAAGTATTATCCACATGGCCAAAATGTAAACAAATCTGTGGAGGGATCTTTAAAGGCTTCTGGGGCAGAGCCCTGAGGGAATTTACTTTGTTTTTCTTTTGATAACTCATCTAAAGACCAAGATATTTCTTTGGACACCTCAACCAAGCTTCTACGCCCAGCCGTTCTCTCAAATTAGTGGAGACAAAGTTTCCAAATAAATATTCGGATTCCCCCATGTTAATCTTATGGGAGAAAACCCAACTTTGATGGAAGATCCTGCCCAAACTAATAAAGATTTCAAAAAATGAAAAACACTTTGCAAAACTACAGATCAGAGCAATTTTTTTGACACTTTAATCATTAAAATCGGTCCAAAAATGAGGGAGGAGTTCTGTTTACAAAAATCGGCTTAGCGTATTATATATATAGAATAGATTATTAATTGTTTGATTGAATGAATTTGGATTGATTTAAAATTTAGTAAATAATTGAAGCGGGGCTGTTAAATGGGCCTATCTCACTGATCTTTTGAGATAATCGCTGTTAAAGTTTTAGAGGTTATGTTTGACTGCCAGCATTTGCAGTCGTCTCGTCCATGCTAAAAGGGCATACTGACACCAGCTGACTTTAAGAGTCTTACCAACCAAACAAACTGAAATACACCATTCCAAGTTATCAAAGATTATACAAGAAGACTGAGGAAGTGAAATAGCGATTCTTCTCTAAAAGACTTATCTAGACCCGTTTAGCAGCTACGCTTGTAAAAACTAGTTGTTGTGAAAACTAACTTAGTATTATTGAAGTACCATATAGTATTATTGAAAATTAACTTGTATTGACAGGAGGTAGATATCCCGCGGGTGGTGTCACTACTGCGGCAACAGCGCACGATGATGGTGCAGTCAGTGGCGCAGTACAGGTTCGTCCACTCACTGCTCATATTCTACCTCAAGAACTCACGCCTTATCTGATCCCGAGGGACCGAGACCAGACCTAGTCTTCCAACCTTGGCTGTGCCTGGATAAGCTGCCTTCGTCAACACACTTCATGCTTCCGGTAGTTTATGATCAAACTTGTTTGACAATAACAACGTAAACTGAAGGAAGAGAAGCCATAGAATATGTATAATATTCTTAAGTTTTTAAAACTCGTTAAGGCAAACATCTTTTAGTTCTTTACAGAGATTTTAACGGCTTGATGAATTCAGTGATTTAATGAATTCATTTTTTGGATCACATAGTGAATTTAACTGTAGTAAAACATTGTAAATCTAGTTTGGAGTATGCATATTTGTATTGGTAAATGCATAATATATTTATCCGTTTTGATTGTAGTCAAATGGTCAATCTATTTTCGGTAAAGCCTTGTAGGCTGTTTAAAAAAACTCTAAAATGTTAGGAAATTAAAAAATATCAGATAGGTTTTTAAACCCTAATGTGATAAGCAATCTTAAGTTGTGTAGTCAAAAACAACTGATTAAACTTTATAAATACAATGTCATATACCATGTATTTTAAATGTTTACTGTACATTGTTTTATAATATGTTTTTAAACTATTAATTAGAGGAGAGAATAGAATTGATGACAAATCGATTGATTTTTCAATGCAATAATTTTTCTTTGATAAGTTATTAAATAATATGTCTTAGGATATGATGCAATGAACTTGTAATGCTATTTTTTCTTATTCTTCTAACTGTATCTCTAACTTCTTTAGACTGTGTAGAATGCTTGAAGCACTCTTGTGCCTTTGTCTGGTGCCTGATAAATCTTAAGTTTCTCGTAAAACATCTTTCTATGTAGTATTTACATTTGTAATTTTGCCAGTTTAATACCATAGTTGTGACTGTTTAAACACACAGAAATTGGTGGCCTGTTAATAATATGTGGTGCCTTAGTCATGTTTACATAAAACTTGAGTATGCTTGGATTGTTTAAACCGATTTGAATATTCCTTTTCCTTGCTGTAATAATTTATATTGTCAGTTGTCACATATAAGGAAGTAGTTTAACATAAAATAGTAAAATACCATGAACAAATGTTTTATGTCTTATTGATTTGAAATATGTATTATTTTAAAAAGTTAAATGTGTAATACAGTTAAGTCTTACAAACTCAGCATAGTGTGGACCAGAAGCATGCCACACAAAAAAAATTGAGAAAAAGTGCTAAAAATTCAATTTAACCGTATGGTACATTTTCCATTTATTTCCTGAATAGAGGTTCTGAATGTACAGCACCAAAACATTGAAATACAGGAGTTATTCAAAATACCACACAAGTTTTTTCTATGTAAATTAATTTAAATTCCATACAACTTTAAGAGAGAAAGTTTCTGACTAACAGAACACTTCACACGCTCTTGTGAGCTGTATGTGAGCTTTAGGACTGGCTAGCAACTGACTCATCCACAAGGAACCCTAGATCCACATGGCGAGGTACTGTGTGACTATTGGCGCTGATGATACTCAAACAGTTAAAATCTCGGACAAATGATATTTCAATATTTTTTTTTTACTTTTTATTTTTTAAAATTTATTTTTCATTTACTTTCTGTTTTAATAATTAAAAACCTCGGACAAATGAAAGCTCGTACAACTGATTTTTTAATATAATTAAAAATAATTTAATAACCTTTGGCAAATGAAAACTTGGACAGTTGATTTAATTAAATATTATTAGCTATTTATCAAACCTTGGACAAATGAACCTCGGACAACCGATTTTCTTAATATTTTGTCATTTTTTACAAACTCTGACAAATTTTTTACAAACTCACCCTGTGGAGCTACCGAGTTCTATAGTTTGCCACCAGTTTCGTAAATTACACCTTCACAGTCCAATTCATGTTCAAATAAATATCGGTTTACTAAACAATATGTACTGTTAAGTTTGGGGGGCTGAGTTTGCTGACTGTTGTATTAACTTATGATTTCAAATTTTGTTTAAATGCTCCAGCCTTTTTACTGTGGCCTATTGGACCATAAATCTTCAAATGTATAATTTATTTAAATATATTGCTGCTGGCCATGACTGTATTTTGAGCAATGAAATGATATTATTCTGTGTTAACTCTACATTAAGATAGTTTTGTGGTCTTTGTTGTTTTCTATTGTGCATGACCAGATTGTATATTTTGTATTAAATGTCCAAGAGGTTTTTGAATGTTTCCTTGTTATGTAGATCTTGTTTAACTACTTTTACTTCCCTTTGGTTGTGTTTTTATTTCTGATCTCATGCTATATGTATTTATTGTTTGTACTTAATGTATATAGTTTCAGTTTTATGAAATTAAATTTTTGTGTCCTTTATCGATGGTTGCTATTTATAAAAATCTTCATTGTATTTAGATCACTATTAAATAATATGTATATTTATTTTTATGTTAAAATTGTATTACGTATTGCAGTTGAGGTATTGTGTATTATATGAATTTTAGCTTATGTAGTTGTACGGCCTTAATTTATGTGTTCAAAATTCTTATTTTAACCAAAGTTATAGAATAAACGCTATTTTTGACATAATGTTAATTGATTATTTGTAATTGTAATGTGATCCTTTATCTTTGGTTAAATCAGTTGCTACTTTTCTCATCTTTTGTACGAGTAATCTATTTAAGAATAGATTCTTTCCTGCTAGTTTTCCAACACCTTTTGGGTAGTTTTATAACTCCAAATTATACTTATTTATGATATTCATTTGCCAAGGTGTTTTTGCCTGTCAATACAATACCATTTTTTAATTGCTTATTTTGATTTGTAATTTATCTACTCAACGGCGACCTTTTTTCAAAAAAATCTACGTAAATTTGTTTTAGATTTTGCCTTGGAAACACAACCGCGGGAGATGTTCAGAATTTTGCTGCGATAGTGGAAGACGAAATTAATGTTTTTTATCAAATAATATCATATAAGACCCTTTGACCATAAGAATTTGAATGTTGAAACACTTTACATTTTTATTTCAAATACAGAAATACTTGTAGTACAGTTAGGCCAAAGTTTCTGTGCACGCGACCAGATCTGGTTGAGTCTAGGCAAGGGGGTTAACGGGGGTACTTTTGTGAAAAAATTTGTGTCTTGCTACTCACTCGCCTCTACCCCTAGCACTGCTAATAGCCGGTACCCGTATGTTTTAGTTCGGCTAGTAGCAACCCGTCCATGCGCACAGAAGTTTTGGCCGAACTGTACTTATTTATGTATTTTACATACCAACGGACATCTCCAATTTTATAAACTAGACATAACAATATTTCTCTTAGTGACTGTAGAATTTAAATACATTTTTGTAAAACATTTCAACCCAGCAATATATATGTACATATATAACAATAACAATAAATATATGTATAAATATATAAATATAACAACAATAAATATATAGTAGATAACAACAACAATATAAATATTTAAAAAAAATTAAGCAAATCTGAACATTTAATGGATGCCTGCAACAAATAACAAGTTTTTTATAGAGAAAAAAGGAAAACAGTCAATATATATTCAATTAAATAACAAACAGATTAACAAGTGATAGAATATATAACGGCAAATAACAACGATAAATTAAGTCGTTCATGCTTGCAACCCAGCAATCCTCCTGAGAGTCGCCACACTGTCGTGGAAGAAATCAACAGATTCAGCGATGCTGTTGCCAAACCTTTGAAGACGAGAGACATCGTGCTATTTGCTGCGTAGTTGGTGCGGGTGTATTGCCTCACGAACAGGTCGCCGGATCGGATGGCTGATGGTGTCTTGAATAAGATCAGACGCAGGATGTCAGGACAGTCAACCTTACCATTGAGGATCTTGTGTAGCAGCACCATGTCAGCAGAAAATCTGCGACTCGCAAGAGACTGCAGCCCCAGATCCCGAGAAATGTCTTCAATTGGGACGTGCCGGTAAGGAATTCCGGTCCTGACCCCGACCATTCTAATGAATCTTCTTTGAATGCTCTCTAGTTCTTCAATTAGATATTTTTGGTGAGGGTCCCATACTGGTGAGGCATACTCGAGAATCTGGTGCACCAATGTGCAATACAAGGTCATACAAGAGCCATCATATCACTGAAGTGTCTTGAATAGCGGAAAACAAATCCAAGCATTCTATTCGCTCTGCAACAGATGTGAATTACGTGGGACTCAGGGTTTAGTGAAGGTGTCAAGATAACAACTAGGTCCTTTACCTCCTGCACTCGAGTTATGGGTTCACCACGCACTGTGTATTCAAACACTACAGGAGAATGGCAGCGGTGGAAGGTTATTACTTGACACTTCTTGATGTTATATTTCATTCTGTTGGTCTGGCACCAGTGGTCAACCATGGGGAGATCCTCCTGTATCCGTAAGCAGTCGTCTTTCGAAGATATGGCAGAGAAGATTTTCACATCATCAGCAAAAAGTAGAGAATTCCTCTGAAGAGCCACAGGCAGGTCATTAATAAAGAGAGAAAATAGATAAGGGCCGAGCAATTATCCTTGTGGAACCCCAGAGCAAGAGATAAACTCAGACAAGTTTGCAGACGCAAATTTCACATACATCCTTCTGGTTTGGAGGTAGCTGGCCAACCACTTTATTTCTCCGTTCCCAAACCCTTGGACAAGCAGCTTCCGCAGGAGGAGAGTGTGTGATCCACCTTGTCAAAAGCCTTGGAGAAATCCAGATAAATTATACAGCATCCAACTGACTGTTTGTGACAAAGGCTTCTTGAATTTTTGACTGAAGAAGTGTTAAGTTGGTCACAGTAGACCTTCCTGCCGTGAAACAATGCTGCTGTGGACAAATTATGCTAGCCAGTTTAGGCTTGATATGGTCAAGAAAGAGGTCTTCAAACACTTTAGACACAGCGGGCAGGATTGAGATAGGCCTATAGTTGGTTACATCATTGATAGCTCCTGATTTGTGGATAGGAATGACATAGGCCGATTTAAATGCTTCTGGGAAGATACCAGTTGCCAGTGATGCATTAAATATATCGCATATCAGTTTAGCCAATAAACTGTGACAAAACTTTAACACCATAGGGGGAATTTTGTCTGGACCCCAGCATTTGGTCTCATCAAGCTTCTTCAATTTGTCTGATATTTCTTGCGGGGTGAGTCTTAGCATTAAAGAGTTTCCAATATAGTCACCAATGGTAGGCGTGAATGCTTCAAGTGGTCTCATATAAACTGAGGAGAAAAAGCTCCTAAACAATTCACACATCCCTTGAGGTTCATCAGACACATTTTCATTGTAGACCATGCGTGAAGGTATCGAGGAAGTATTTTTTATAGCATTCACGTGGCTCCAAAAAAAGCGAAGGTTGACTGGTACGCCTAGTTCTACTCTTCTCAAATGTTGGTGGTAGTCGCTTTTGGCAGAGATCTTGCTTGCATTTGAGAAACGAAGGTAGTTGATGGCTGTTGGATTCTCCTTGTATTGTTTGTGGAGGATTTTTTTAGTGATTACTAAATTCTTTGAGACCGAAGAGAACCATCTGGGGAAAGGTGATATTCCAACTCTTCTCATTGGCGAATTAAGCTTCACCGCAGCAGCAATCGTTGATAGAAATTTATTAGTCATTGAGATTTGCAGCATTCAGAATAGAAGAGAAGTCATAGAGTAAATGACGACAAGAACTTTATCGCACGGTTGACAATGACGATGTCTCCACGACCGTGGGAGATGTTCAGTAGGTATTTTGATGTTATTGCAGACATAACCGCGGCCCGTGAGACATTCATGATTTTGATGTGATAGTGGAAGACGAAATCAATGTTTCCGAGTCCGTGCAAGATATTAAAGATTTTGACGCTATCTTAGAAGATAATGATGATGTTTCTTTTTTGTGGGAGATGTTAGGGATTTTGCTGCTATTGCGGAAAAAGATAATGATGTATCGTAACCGTGGGAGATATTAGAGTATAGGCGGTGATTGCACGAGATGATGACGTTGTCTACTTGGCTTTTATTCTTTGTTGAAGGATCCGAAACTCCCCGACGACTACCCGGTACCTAGTTGCCCTTAACCCGGGACCCATGGCGTAGGCCGGAGCTTATGCACCAACCCTGAGCACACCAAGGGTGGATGGCTTATGGCATCAAGCTCACCGGCTGCCGAAGCAACCCTTCGGAAAGAGGGTTGCCCCTCAATCCTAACCAGGGATACCGGCTACTTGGTCAAGCGCCCACTCCACCTGGGTTCAACCAGGTACGACACCCTGAGTTCCAACCACCTATTTGCACCACTAACCGATCGAGGCCAACCCATTTACTGGAAAACCAGAGATAACCAGCGCGATAGATCCCCAGATACTCCCAGCGGGCTTGATCCCAGCACCTGATCTACTTAATTTGTTTGCCCATCTAGCCCAACATCACTGCCAGGCCATCAGGGTTTCCCAATAGGAGGCAGATATAGAAGTGGGACCCGCCCGGATGAACCTATCCACCAAAGGTGGCGACACCCTTAACTCAATTAACCCACACTCTAGATAACCATACCCTCCGGGCTGAGGGCTCAGAGACAGGAATTGGAGTGCGCCCAGCCGTTGCCCTCACACTGCGGAGAGTTACGTTCCCCTAGAGTGTCCCCGTGAGCTTACGGATACTCGCCCGATCTCACCTCCAGGAAAGGCTACACTTCCAAAGTCGAGGATTCGCCACACAAAATGTTGATCGCACACAACAAGCGGGCCGAAACCCATAGAACCACAGTCACAGGTAGATGGGAGAATTGATGGCGCACTTCCACCTCTCCGAGAGCTAAACACCCCACCAACCTGGATGGAGGAATGTCACTGGGCGCTCCCCCTAAGGGGCTGGCCTTTCCAGTTGCCCATGACTATGGCCTACTTGAAATGCCGATTCCAACACCGAGCAGTTACCTCCCCTTTGGGGGCTGTCAGTTGCCCGTATTTCATCTCCCATGAAGAGGCTACTTCCAGAGCCGAGGATATGCCTCACAAAATGTCAGTCATACACAACAGGCAGGACAGGCCCAAAGAACCACAGCCACATGTAGAGAGCATTACTCTGAGAGCTAAACACCCCTCCATCCTGGATGGAGGAATGTCACTGGGGCTCCCCCTAAGGGGCTGGCGAGTCCAGTCGTCCATAACTGTGGCCTTACCTGATGTCCCGGTTCCAACACCCTCCCTGTGTGTCTACTTGACTGCAGTGTTTCTGTGACTGCAAAGTATTCACAATTGTGGCTTGGTCAAGGAGGACGATTATAACAACTCCTTGACCTATATGATATTCCGGATTATGTCGTGATCAATAAAGATGATGATGACGGTGTCTCGGGAGATGCTGTGCCAAACCCAATTGCAAGCTTAGGGAAAGATTATTGGGAGAGGGGGTCCGATGAACAAACACAAACTTTGGGGGGGCGTGAGTTCTTATTGCCACCACTGACAAACTGCTATATAGCGATGAGGGGTTATTTTATTTTGTGTATTTTAATCTGATTAGAATTTTTTAAAGATGTTATTGAAAGGGTAAAAGCGCGGCGGTCCAAATTCTGGTTATGTTACTACCTAAGTACACATTTTGTTGGATAGCACCATTAATAAATAAATAAATGATAAATAAATTATGTATGGCTTCAGAATTTATCCAGCACCAAGGAACATTGAATATTCATGAGAAGGATGGAGAGGAGTCAAAGAGTGTGTAATCGTGTAATAGAGCATCTTCAGGACCAATGAACTCTGCAAACAAGTAGGGTGTTGTGAAAAAATATCTATGGCTTTTGCATACCTTGGTGTCAGTTTTTGTCATAAAATGTGATCCTAAGAATTGGTAAAGTAAAAGTCATCTTAGAAGTTTGATTAATAAACCATTATTTTAACAGTATTCAAAACAAACGTTTAAATGATAAACGCTTGTACTCAGCAAATAATTTCACTTCGTATTGTATAGAGCCTCCAGTAGTTTTAAAAGGACTTTATATCTTCCAGGTTGGTCATCTGGGCAGAACAACAGGACTCGCCTCAGCTGTTTCTAAAGTCAAGTGAGAGTTATTATGTCTTTATTTCGTTGATTTTGTGTTATAAAATTATTTCATTGAAAATAGTTATCTTTTTATGTTTTGTTTCATGAGGAGATGGACGAGCTACGAGAAATTTACAATAATTGATTTTTAGAGAGTGCTATTTAGAAATTTTAAAGTCCAGTTTGTTAACCGCAGTATTTGACCTGTCAAAATTCACAGACCATTTGAAAACCTTTCGTCGTCAGCAAAGAAAAGAAAGAGACTTAGTCTTAGTTCAGTTCGTTCGTGGTCGCCATCTTATGCTGTGCGTCCGTAGTTTCGTTAGTGTTTTATGTCTCGGTTCAGTGATAAAATTGTTTTAACACAGTGGTGATTTTAGTGTGTATGCCCTATAATAAAAAGAAACTAAAATACAAACAATGGCGGGGCAAACTATGACGGACAGGTTACTGGCTGCTAGGCACAGTTTAGCCGGCCAAGGATTAGCCAAATCTGTATGCAAAGCAACAACTGAAGAACTTATAGGACCTAAAAAGAAACATTTAGACTGTGAGTAATCCTTAACTTATTAATAGGCTTAAACTAACCGACTAATTTCTTTACAATGTTAAAATGGGCCTAGCCTACGTCTGTAGGTGTCCTATTGATACCTTCAATCAGTTCCAGCACAGATCGTGAAACAGGTCAATCCTGTTAGTTCGTGTTCATTAATCATAACTTACTTAAATGCTTAATCACTGTTAAGAAATTTGGCAAGGCAAAGATGACTGATCTTCCCCAATAAATAGACCTACAAGTCTAAGATAAGCATAGGCCTATGCTAAAATGAAATAGGCTAAAGAAATGTTTAGGTCAAATCTTTAAAACACATAACTTTAGGCCTAGGCCTGAGTTGAATAAGTAGGCCTAACTTAAATAAAATGAAAATTGGCTGTAACATTTTAAAACAATCTATTGCCTAACATAACTTATTAGGCGTAATGGGTAGATTGATTAGTTCCTTAAAAAAAATCTCTAGGTTGAATTAAATTGATAGGTAAAACTTAAAAGACTTAGGCACAGAGCACTACTTAGGTAACTTATGATTGATGTTAGGTTAGGTTTCGTTTGAAAAGTTTTTTTTGGTAAGATTAACTGTGTAATTTAAACTTACCTAGGCTACCTGTAAGTTATGCTTGCACTATTGAATGTTTGTAGCCTAAAAGTCTAGAAAAAGTTAGGCTAAGTTAACTTAATAATTACTAAGTTTATCGGTAATACTAACTCGGTAATAATCGGTAATACTAACTTATCGGTAAGTTAAAATTAAGTTAATTTTCTAGGCTATGATTTAAATTCCAAACTGGTTTCCTAAGTTCATCATGAACTTGCGCTTCTTTGAAGTGGTAAATAAAGTTTAAGTTGTACCAGAACAATGAATTAGGCTACTTCTAAATACTATCAGGGTTTTTTGAAATAAGGTTAGTTACTGGTAAGTTATATATTTTTCCTACCACTGCATGGAAGTAATCACGTTGCCATGCAGAGTGTACATAACATCCTTAACTTACATCCTTGCAACCTGTAAACATAACATAAAACAGCTCATCCCCGCTCGCTAAATCAGCTGTTTTCACAGTTATTGTTTCTACACCAACCACAGCCACGGATACCTTAATACCTTAATACTCTCTTCGTTTTTGACCAGGTTTACTGGATTAACTGCGTCAGTTTTCTTAATTTTAGATCAAATAGCAAAATCAAATGTTCTTGTCATATTTCTAAAAAATAATATTAGGCTAGGGATACAAATATGTCAACTTACAAACTTGGCGGGTACCTAAAGTAGGGTTTTGGGTCAGTTACTCGCTAGATTATCCTCAAGGAAATCCTTGCTGGAGAAATAGGCCGACTGAGTAAGTTGGTCTTTCATTTTTCTCTCAAACTTCTTGGTCTCAAGGTTTCTCAAGTTCTCCGGCAGCTTGTTAAACAGCTTCAATGCCATGGCAGGGAAACGGCGTTGTGTGCTTGTTAGGTGTGTTCTCGGTATATCTAACTTGGTAGAGCCACGTGTAGCGTGGTAGTGGACATCGCGAGTGTAATGGGGGAGGACACAGTTTGATAAAATTTGCTTTTTTAAATTTACGGTATACTATTACACATCAACCACAGGTATTATAGTTATCTAGCACTTCACCTAAAAAATAGAGAAAAATAAATGATTGATAAAAATTCACAAAATATCACAAGTTATTCATGAAATTACAAACATAAACATAACTGTAAACAATCATACTTTGACAACTCTCATTGCGTATCTCAGTTTTTCGTTGCTTCTTAGTTCAAATGAGCTGTTTTCATAAATTAAAAAAATAGTGCTGCACCCTGTTTGTAAATCTTATACCGGTAACTTTTTAATGTTTTTGCATATCATAGAACCATTTTTTTTTTAGTTGAAACTGTTGGCTATAAATTCTTTTAAAAATTATATTCATATATGAATACAGTACTCAGAAGGTTAACATGCGGAATTACAGAGCCACTGGAGGACTAAAGGATTAATTGAGATAATAATATGGCTATATGTTAATCGGGAATGTAAGCTAGCATCATGCAAAATTTCAGCCTAATCCGTCCAGTAGTTAATGCGTGATTAAACTTCAAACAAACAATCACACAAACTTTCACATTCTAAGAAGTAAGTTAAATTAAGACTAGTGTACCTGTTGCTCAAATTCGAGCAATTTCGCAGCATTACAGGCGTTATTTTAAAACGAATAATGGTCATAATTTCCCATGACTTTATAAAAGTCGACTCAAAGATTATGGAAATAATCACGATGTACACAACAGTTAGATATAACGGTAATCAAAATTGTTTGTAAATATCTTATCTTTTTTCAAAAGCTGATCTTGTTTTTTAGAGTTTTCTACAAATGTTTCCCACTCATAGCCACATTAGGTTCTCTATAGGCCAGTGTTTCCCAACCTTTTTCCGTTCAGGGCACACTAACTAGAACACATTTGTAGTCACGGCACACTTTTCTACAAAAATATCATGACCACAGTCGTGTCCGCCGTGCTACCTGCGTCAGTGTGTCCCTTATAAATGTGGCCGGCTACCTTCATTAAATGTATTTTGTGTTAAAAATGTGTGAACTTTATGTGTCGACGTGTATTTGTATCTATTTGAAGACTTCTGTCAGATTTATGGACCAATCAATTTGATGACATGGGTTTGAAAATGGGTCATTTATGACCTGAAACTAGTCACCCTTGACTATTTTAAGGACTGGACACGGAATAAAAAGGTATGGAACCTATCATATCATTTGTACATCAGTCCTGGTGGCAGTAATGTTCGAAATATCAAGGGATGAGAAGTACTTTTTTATATTTCCTTCAAACAGACGCAGACTTTTCAAAATTGGAAACATGGATTCAACTCTGACAAGTAATTCTACACAAAAGAATGTGTTCTCATGAACGCGCAACCGCACTTAAAGCACGTCTATTACGACATCAAAAATTTTTTAACTACTTCAAATTTCGCGGCACACCTACAGGAGCCTACCGGCACACCGGTTGAGAAACACTGCTATAGGCTAATAACAATTATAAATGAAGAGAAAAAAACATTATTTCTATTTCTTCTACTTTGTTGTGTTCTATGACTTTCTTATGTTTCCATTGTTTGCAAATCGGCTCTTTCAATGATTGCTCAAGAAATGCACAGTGTTAATTCAGTTTTAGTAGGCCTATTTTAAATTGTCCAGGATTTCTCTTTTTTCCATTGTAATAACTACACCAACCCAAGTATCGTCTACAGGTGCAATACGCCAAAGAATATCATCTACGTGCAACACGCCTATCGTACAATCTCAGTGGTAAAAAAGGCAGAAACTAACCCTGACAATAGACATAAGTTGACTCCATAAGAAATAATTTTAAGAGTTACTGTGATATTAGGACCTTCTACTGATTTGGCAATAGAACATTATATTGCAAAACATGACACGATACAGAAGAAAATCGATTTTAAAATCAGAAAAAACCATTGCAAATACTTCATTTTGACAAATTCAGTAAATCACAATTTAAATATTAACAGTTGTTTCATTAAAAAGTAGTGTAAAATTATACATATGGTCATAATGTAAACAAATCTGCTGAGGGGACTTTAAAGGCCTCTGGGGCAGAGCCTCAAGGGAATTGACCTTTCTTTGGACACCCCTACCGAGTTTCTACGCCCAGCCGTTCTCTGAAATTAGCTGTGACAAAAACCCTTTTTTTCTTCCATAAGAATAACATGGGATGGGAATTTAAAGGCCACTGGGGCAGAGCCCCAAGGGAATTTACCCCGTTTCTCTTTTGATGGCTCATCTACAGACCAAGACCTTTCTTTAGACACCCCTGCCGAGTTTCTACGCCCAGCCGTTCTCTCAAATTAGCTGTCACAAAGAAAAACAGTTTCAAATTAATATCTATATATAAATAAAATTAGAGTTTTGTCTGTACATTGCTCAGAATCATAAACTTTTAGGTTATTTTTACGTGTTATACATTAGAGAAACCGAAACAAGTCTCATCTAAATTTCTGTCTGTCTTCCAGTCTGTTACGAGTTACGACCCAAGAGCCATTTTACGCGGCCTACTCCTGAAAAACGAGAGTACCTATCAAGTTCCAAATCATTTTAATGCATTCACTGGATTGGCGAGATTGTCTTTAGCCATTAAAATATGGCTTCACCACTTTGTAAATAAAATAACGGACGTTTAAAAACCCAATTTTGTGCGATTTTTGTAAAGTTTTCTCCCAATGTTTAGCACATATTCTTCTATGAAATAACGAACAGCTGTTCAAATCAAGATTATTTCTTCTAGTTGTCACTGATATGTTTACATTGAATGTTGTTTACAAATATCGCAACCATTTCCGATCACGTTTTGAAAGCAAATCCAAACCAATTAAGATTAAAAACGTTTTTCCTTACATAACGGATTTAATTAATCGCAAGTGCAATAATTTGTAGGGTAACAGTAAATGAAAATAGAGATTCTTTGTGCATAAAATTGTTCTTGAGTTTTGATAACCGGGAAATGGACCTTGAATCAGTGTTGTATATTGCTGGGAAACTTACATTTTTTAAATGAGCGTTTTCAGTCAAGACTCGGCACACGACCGACGCGCGTCTACTTGTCCATAGTAAAAATAAAAGTAGGCCTACCGTGTATTTATGTTTTATTCGTTATGTGTATAAGTGTACAGTTCGTGTATGTGTTTCAAAAACTCCAAGATGCACCTAATGGGGAAGCTCAAGACCTTATATTAGGACTGATGATGGCGATTTAATTTCGCCGAAATGCATCTCCTGTAATAGGATACATTAGGATCGACCGGCGGACACAGGTAATTTATCCTTTTATTGATTGTCATACTGATCCGGAACAACAACAAACAACATAAAATGAAGTTAAAACTTAAAATGTATAATAAATAGTTTGGCCAGCATATCTGAAAATATGCAAACCAACTACTGTTCTTTATATAAGAAGGTTTAAACTGATAC